CACACACACTCTTGGGCACAACAAAAAAACTCAACAATTCCAAGCCAAAACTGGTTCTAGAATCAATTTTTATTTTCTCAAGCTCAACCAAAAAAAAAAAAAGACACACATATATATAAAAAAGAATCCCTCGGCAAGCTGAATGCACGAAAAATATTTTGAGGCAGCTTCAAAATGAATTTGGTTAACCAACCTCTCAGAACAGGCCAAACCCAACCGAAGCCAGCCAAACCAGCAGGCTGTCAGGCAGGCAGGCAGGCAGCCAGTTTTGTGGCGTCCAAGCTGCAGATACAGATACGACGAGTATCTCATACTCATGCCTACAGCAGCCGCAGCTTCCAAGCGACGTCTCTCTTTCTCTGGGCGCGCAGGCAGACGAGATCTTTTTACTTTATTTTGGTATTATTACTTATTTGGTTGTTGTTGTTTTTGGTGCTGCTTTGCCAGTTGTTATTGTAGTATGTGCTAAAAGTATCTGCACACTCGCCATCTCGTCAGTTTGGCATGCGGCATATGTATCCGACAGATACGCGCCTGGCACTAAATGTTTGCGCCAAGTTTTTGACCACAACAACGCGACTTACATAAATTGTTATTGTACTTTTGTCTATCTACTTCTTTGTATCCATTGGTGTTATTTTTTTAGTCTAGCTCTTGTGTAGCCAAAATATATTGTTGGTTCTTTAAAGAGGCTTTTTTTTATTTTGCATTATTTGCTCAAGTTTGTGAACTTCTTATTGGACTTGATTAACTATCGAACACGCCCAATCCTCAGCCTTTGGCTAAGCTAATGATTTGGGCTTATGCCAAAGATAAATTATTTGCTGGCATTTTTCTTCAAAAGCCTTTTACGTAACGATTTTGCCAGCAGACATAATTTTTCTTTCAAGATAACTAAGTTGGTAAATAAGTTTCTTAATACTTTATAGAATATCTAATGGTCTTTAGAGATTGCGAGATTTTCGAGCTGAATACATCTGCCTCAAACATTTATGGATTATCTTTACCTAATTTGAACTTGTTGTTGTTAATTTCCTTAATGTATCTGCAACAAAATCAAACCAAAGAGCGCAAGAAAATTCATAGGCAAAGTTTAAGAAAGATTAGCTTAAATTGTGTGTGAAGACTCTTCATTCATTTCCCGTACGTGGAACTCCTTGAATAAAAAACCAAAGCTGGAATCAACTATTTATTCCCATGTTAGTCTTGTGGTGAGAAGCTTGAAGCCGCAAAGTAAACTTTTGTTCATTCAACCTTTGACCCGCGTTTTCCATCCAAGAGCGGTGAAATTTCTAAAAAATGTATGATCTGAATTTTAACAAACATCTTTGAAAATGAGTTTGAGCTCGATTCGATAGCAAACAAAGTATCAAATGTTTTTCGCGATTTTTCCACATTCCACATTCCTCACTTCGATCAATTGTCAAGCGCCTGAGCAAAATCCGGAACTCTTTTGAGTCATCATCATTTCAATACAATATTATGCATAGAGCCCCACAACACCTTAGTTTAGGATAGATCGGCCTACCAATATGCTGCATATAAGTCAGATTTTCAGAATTCCTTGACATTAATTCTTTTCAAAATTTTAGTTTAAAATAACACAAAAACATCTGACCTTCATTTGCATTACTTGTCTGGTAATTTGATTAAATTTATGCAACTTTGCGAATACGTTAAATTTATTTTTAGCATTTAAAGACAGCTCAATAAAATGGTGATCAAAATTCAAGAATATTTACATAGTTTCTTACTTATAGATTGTAAGTTGAATTAACGCTCAGATTTGCTTCAAATGCGCTTTGCCAATGATCTCATCCGCAAGACCCACACTTGAGTTCGCTGACTTGAGAAATATTTTTATTATAACTAATTACGTATCAAATATTAATTTTTGTTCGCTCAACTTATATTTATTTGCTTCAGTACGCTCCGCACTTTTGTTTACCATTAATTAATAAGTATCTGGGAAAAAAAAGCAAAAATATATTTACACTCGTTGTTTGTCATTGCCGCAGTTGGATTAACGTGCTAAATGCTAATGGCGTTGTCCGGCTTTATTTGGTTTTTTTTTTTATGTTTGTCTGATCCGCAGATGATCTTGGGTCTATCGCGAGTCGCTTGCAAATGATGCGCTGCAGGTGTCTGCCTCAGATGCTGGTGGGGCAGACGGGTCACAGTCACATTGTTTGCGTTTGTCATTGAATATCAAACGTGCAATCGGCGAGGGGCGGTCCAAAGTAATTTAAAGTAAGCTAGTTCGACTATTAAATGCCCTTTACAAACAAGAAATTCTGGAAAAACACTGGACATTATGGCATAAATTTAAGCTCTCCAAATGCCAGATATACGCTCAGTTATAAAAGAATAAGTAAATAATTGGGGCTCATCTTAAATTATTTTGAATATCATTTTGCATGTGGAAATGGGTCAGCTACTTAGCAGAACATTCTCAAATATTATCCTGGATGGCAACTAGTTAAAAGATATCTCTAAAATACTATATTATATTGTGTAATATTATATTATATGAAAACATGCAGAATAGCTCCCAACTCACATGTTCATTCAAAACGAAAGCTTTATCTGAGCATCATACTGAATGTGAACATCATTCTGTTAGTGGAATCAGTTTAAAAACAATAAATAGTTGTCATTCTGAATGAACCCAACACTCACAAATTTATTTCTATTTAACTTCTATGCAGATGTTTTCAAACAACTAAACAGAATACCAACTTGTGCTACAGGGCATTTAAACATATTCATAACCAGTTTTGCATAGTTTCCCATGGCTATAAGTAAAAAAAAAAAAACCATTGCTAACAATTCTCAGTGCCCGCAGCGACAACAACAACCGCCAGTCACTCTGGCAGAAACAAGATGATGGCGACAATCTCTGAGATGCGAAAGAGCCTCGATTGGGTCTCTTCATTGGGCGCATCTTGAGAGCTGCTAATGAGTTTTTCTTCTTTTTTTTTTGGTCGCCCCGGGCGCAATGTGTGAAGATCTTTGTAAGTGATTCATGAGTGAGTGCGAGTGCCAGTGCGTGTAATTGCACTTTCCACACAAACTAAAAAAAAAACACTAAATATATAAATAAATGAATATGAAAAGTAATCCAACCAGGTGCTAAACGCCAGCTCAACTTAAAAGCTCTATTCATTTTACTTGACGTCATTGTTCAAAAAAAAAAAATTAATTGTTTTTACTCCAAAAACACAAATCTCAGCTGGTTGCTTGTGCTTCATTGAAAATCAGCATGGCGATAAGATAATTTATAGCCCAACCACTGAAAATTAAAGACCAGAATTCTTGTCTAAAATCAATAAATAAAAACAATTCACTTTTTTTTTAACCTAAGTCAAACGCCAGCAAAATTAAAATGTGTTTTAAATTGTTGCGATAAGAACAACAAATACAAAAGAGACATAAATAATTACTTGGGTTAAGTTATCTGTTAAAAGTAGAACTGTCGTGCTTATCATCGTGACACGAACATTCACGTTTCAGTTTGTTGTTATATTTTCTTAAAATTGTTTGGCATTTTGTCTTAATATAGTATTTATATAAGCGTGTTTTTGATTTTCCACTTATTTTCCGCTCGTAAGGATGGGCTTAAAACTTCCACACTCAAATTTGTAGTAGTCAATTTTGCAACAAGAGTTGTAACAAATCTTAGCAAATGATATGTTTTAAGGCAGATCGAATTTAAAGTAAATTAAGTTTTCCACCCATTTTTCGCACGCGCAAGTGGATTATTTCGCCTTAGTGTTGACTAACGGGGAAAAGAAAAACTTCTGTAAGAAATGAATCTACTTAGCTGTTGTCGTGTTTGTCTCGTGTCACACACCCATCTCCAAAGGGAAGTTGGTCAGTTTAACAATGCAATTAATGTGTTTTATGCACTCACATATCATCTTTGTGTAAGTGAAAGTTCTGGTCGCTTGGATTTCACCTATGAGCATTACTTTTATAGCGCTCACATATGAAAATCTCAACAAAGCACTTGAATACAGCGCAATGTCGTAAGCATTTGTTTAATTTATTACGTGGTCTTTTGGTCGTTTTTTTTTATTATTTTTGTTTTTTAAGTCTGATAACCGACATTCTTATGCTTTGTTTTTGTTTTCATTTGTTTCTGTAAATAGTCATTGTCATAAGCCTTAAATAGCTCGTGAGGCATCATTTTAAAAAAATGTGAAGGGCTTATATAATATTATCCATAAATGAAGTTTGCTCTCTTGACTGTGCAGCTGAGTTAATTGCAATATTTCGAAAGGCTAAAATCATATTTTGCTTTCAAATTTATTATTGAACAGTCTTTTTTTTTTGCTGTTGCTAGCAAAGGATTTGTGAGGGAAATGTAGCTACTTTGCAGCAGACAAATAAATAATGTAGCTCATACATAATGGAGTTTAGGGTTTCTCTAAGCAATATTATTAATGGCAAGCAGATTAGTTAAGTAAGATCTATAAATAAATATACATTAATCACGAATACCTTAAATCTATGCAGTTGCCTAATAAATAAATATAATTATATTAAGCTGGGCATCTCGAGGTCAATGATTGTTAATTCTTATATAAATAATGATCAACACGCAACTACGTGTAAATACAAAACCTTCAATAATCTTTCGGTTCTGGCAACTTAGCTGTTGACTCTAGGCACGGCTTTGGTTCCCTTCTTTAAGCTTTAACTGGTTGAGAATTGCAAGCGTCAAGCAACGAAATTGGTTCAGCGTGCATGGGACTGTTTATTATCAACTGAACAGCAGGCAATTCAAATTCAATTCAAATATATATATATATATATATATATATATATATATATATATATTTATATATATTTGAAATCAATATATATATATATATATATATATATATAACAATAATAATAAATATATTTCTTTTATGCTTATAAATAGATAAATTACATTTTATTTTCCTATCTTTATACTTATTAAGTATTTAATAGTTATTATGCACTTGTAGAGGGTATTATAATTTTGTAATTAAATATGTAACGCATATAAGGAGACTTCTCCAACCTCGTAAGCTATATCTATTCTAGATCAGCCAATTGATATAGCCAAGCCCACCTGTCTGATTCCATGAGAAGCAGTCTCTCAGTTTAAAAGCTATCGTCTCGAAACTTTGCATAGGTCCATATTTCCTCTGCAGCCAGTGCATTAATCAAAAAGTCGACATGTCGACCGGATCGGAATACTATATCATATAGCTGTCATAGGAACGATTGGTCGAAAAGTAGATTCTCGTGTGAACAAATTTTATGTTGACCAAACGAAACCCGACATTTATCAGTTTCACTGTGCTTCCTATATATGTGCGAAATCTTATCAACATCGGACCATATATCTTACCATATAGCTACCTTAGGAAAGATCGGTCGAGCAGTAGATATGGTAAATATTCTGTTTTCCAAGATATTTTCATCAAACTCAGTATATACGACCTTCACTTTTCTCACGTATCTGCAAAACAAAAATGTGCATAGGTGTAGTAAATCTTCGACGCGTCGAAGATGTCCTTACTTTTTATTATATTTATTGCAATTGATAACGTATAATAAGTTGGACAGAATATGTTATAATTCATCAGATATAAACGTCAATCATTGTTTGTTGTTGCCAGTTCTATAATAATAACACAGTATTTACAGCGAAAATAAAGTATATTGCACTTGGCTGACATAAACATGAGAAAACGAAATCGAGCTTAAAGATTCTAGGGCTAATCAACGATGAAGTGTTGCCAATTAAATTTATAGGGTTGCCATAATTGCCATGATGATAAGAAAGGGTATTATAACGTATCTGCTTGGTACGTTTACCAGCTGTTAAAATTACACATAACATAAGAAAACCCAGCTGAAGAACCAAAATATTATTTTATCTGAACTAAATCTTCCGACTTCTGCTCTGGCACCTTGCAAATCCATTCACTACTATGATTAGCTGCGGTTACAATAATTTTCTCCAAGCGTACACGGAATGACTCATTGCCATGTTAGCAAATGTCTGTCAAAGTTCTCACATCTTTGCATTTCATAATAGCAACTCGGCTAATCTCAACACAAATAGCCTCTCCGAGTTTGAAGTATGTCAACTGAAATCGCCGAGAGCATATTCAAGTACAATATGTATTTAAATTATTTCTCATATGTGAGAATAGTTGCTGGAAATTGTGCAAAGCCCGCTTATCTAAAAAATTCCAGAATGCTTGGCGGGGTATGCGGCATTTCCTTTTCGGGTTTTTTTTTTCGCTTATCAGCTTCAATTTGCATGTTGCTTTCGAGAACGTGCTAATATTTGATTTGGAACAGTTCGAGACACTGGCAACTTAATTAAATTTCGCGCTGCAAAGTTTTTTCTAAAACAAACGAAAATAATTAAAATATGATTTACCTGTGGTATATGTATAAAGTGTATGTGCCGCGAGCATTTCACGTAAAACAAATTTCCGTTTAATTGCGCGCTTGGCTTTTCCTGCTGGAAGAAGAAAAACCCTGTAACAATATTGCAATTGAAAGTTCTCGACTACGCAATGCGCTGTTCGCACTTTAATGAGACAGGTGATTGAATTGAAGTCTAGTGACTCTTAAACTGTGACTAGAATGCAGTGACTGCGACTCAAAATGTGAAATATTTCCAACTCCTGAACCTGTTTAATGTATTTAACAGGCAGGAGGAGGCATTTCCGATTTCTGGAAGTATATATATTCTCACTTTTGAGGCAAGGTCATTTTAGCATAACTCGAAGATTCTTAGAGGAAAATCTATGCGCATTAAACATATTTCACTTGTTGAATACATCTCTTTATTATTCCCCAAATTGAGAGAAAAAAAGGTATAGGTAGCGCCTTGCGCTTTATAAATATATCTGGATCTTCATCATTCTATGTAGCATATTTTATGAATACAGATCTTAAAATTTAATACCCTGAATCCATTGAAAATGGGAATTTTTTGTTTCCGACCCATAAAGTATATATATTCTTGATCAGCCACAATAGCCGATTCGATCTAACCAAGTTCCTCTGCCTCTCCGTCTATAGCTTCTAGAATGGTATATACAGATCAAGTATCTTCAATTTTATATCTGCCGCCCGCCTTCCCTTTTGCGCGTGCTGCATTTGGTGTTGATAGAAAAAGGTACAGGGTATTCTCTCTAGTCGGGCATCTCGATTAGAGCATTCTTATTTGTTTATTTTTTAACATTTTTGAAGACGCACTTTACCCATAATTGAATATATTCTTATTGCACGCTGAAAACAGGGCATAAATATTACTAACAATAGTTTTTAACGGCAACAAAGTATTTTTTTTAGCGCGTTTGTCATGTGCGCAAAATGCTGAGAAACGGAGACGGATATAGCATCGGACATTGGGCCGGACTGACAGCCAGACAGGCAGACTGTGCTACCTGTGCTGCTGCCTAACGGCTAATTTGTTTTAATGATGAGAAACCGCTTAAATAAACAAACAACAACAAGCACAATGGAGGCTGTTGTCGCGTAGCCGTTCATGCGGGTCTCTGCGCTGCTTTCAGGGGGGAGGGCCCAAACCGGGGCATATTTCTCCATTGTGACTGATAAAACTAATGTGTGTGAGTAGCATGTGTGTGTGTGTGTGTGTGTGCGTGTGTGTGTACTTCATGCTTGATTGCGAATTCAATTAAAGTTTGCACACAGCTCCTCAATCGACAGGGGCCCACGAGCGGGGCATGTTTGACAGACGCGGGGGCACACAGCATGAATGTAAACCTCAAAAACTTGAGCTCTGTCCGAAAAAAAAAGTTGAGTTCTGCTCATAAATTTATAAATTATATGAATATAACATTCATAATAAAAAGCTTTGACAGCCTTTTGTCTATATAACAATGAAACTTTTATCTGCCCATTTTAGTGCAATTTTTGCCATTTGTTTATAAGCTCATTTTCATGTCAACATTTTACATATTGTTAATAACGTTTTATTTTTTACCATTTTATTGAAATTCAATTAGTAACGACTTCTTTATCTTACGAGAAGCTAAAGATTTAATTTAATCAAGTCACAATAAATATTATTATTACTTTCTATTTATTTCAAGGTATTTCAAATAGAAGTCTAGAAGTTATTAGAAGGCTGAGAAATTAGGCAACATTGGCTAAAGGCTTTATTTAATCAAGTCACCTCAAATATTATTGTAGATACTTAAAAGACCTCGAAATAAATATAAAGTAAATCTACATCTTTCAAACTGTTCTATTTATATATTTTAAAAAACTATTGAAGTTTGGCAACAATGGAAGGAAAATTCAAGGCTTCTTTAGCCCACTTTTTATTAATATAAATAAATAATTGTATCACCAATTGCCTCACTTCGATTATGCATTTTAAATGCATTAACACCTGTTTAAATATTATTATTGTTTTTCTACTTGTCTAATGAAATGCGGCAACAAGGCATTGCTAGTAAAATTGAAATTTGTAATAGCCGTATAACAGATATGGCCAAGTTTTAACATCTTCGTGTATGCACATGCACAAATGCGACCCTGAGACTTTATTAGCTTAGGCAATTGAATTGTGGCTTTCCATATTAATAACCGCAATACTTCAAAGCCTTTTAAAATTCCAACGACCCTGAACTTACCTCGTGCACAGGTACGCGTAAATGTCATGCCGTGAAATAAGAAAACAATTCTCGAGCATTTCAAATGATACGCAGGTATTTTTTGTGCGGCACTTCCTTTACATTTATTTGCGCATGTTCGAGTCGAAATTATTTATAAACATATTTATACATAATCATTTGTTTTGTCCGCTGAATCATCTCTGGGAAGCAACTGTCTGTAAGATTTATGGCCGGGCAGGTAAGACTCGTAATTGAAGCCCTGCGAATTAATCGGTTCTGTTGAATGAAGCCCCTCCCCTACCCGCGCTGCGCGCTTAATTTATTTAACAAAAATCCGTTGCTCAACTTTCAAGATGCGCTCAATAGACGACCTTGACTGCCAGATCAGACAATAACAATTTAAAGCTTCCCCCTTGAGTTTCTATCGTAAGCGCTTTTTAATGAATCAAAGTAAACAATGAGGCGCAAAAAGCGAAAATATATCTGAAAACAAGCAACGAAAAATACAAATTCAAAAAAATAATAATAATAGCAATTGTGCATAGCACATTTTTGGCGCTTTGGTACATACATGTTTGTAGGTTTTTAGTACTTTGTTGTTTTAGGAAGCGGAACTGACAATTCGAAAAAACGTCACAAACAGCCAAAAAAAAAAATAATTGCAAATACTTAATTGATAGGCGGAGAGCAAAGGAAGCAAATGTATGTTCACACATAAGGCTAATAAAAATGTATTTTAATTGAAAAACATGCAAAATAATAAATAAATTTAATTTTATGAATTAAATATAGCTTTACAAATATTTAAAAGAAAGTGGTTAAAATAAATCGGTAATATATTAATAAAACGGATCTTAGGAAATTCCAGCAGATACTCTACAAAATAATCAAATCTGCACTATTAGAAAACTTGGCTCTCACATCTGCTCTCGCGAGCCAAGTCAGAACTATGTCATGTTATTCTATTGCTTCCAAACGTGGGAGCTACAACAGAACTTTATAAATTGTTACCTATACTTTTGGCAAGCGGAAAGTGCGTACATAAGCTTTATAATCCGTCAAAAAGTTGTTGTACAAGCTATTTAGTTGCATTGTCGCAATTCATGGCATTAGCTGTACTTATGTCAGACGCCTGGAAATGCCAAAAACAAAAATCACGTAGCCTGACGCAACGCCCACGATAAGAGTCTACATATTCAGGTATTCTGACCCATGAGCACATGCCAGTGGAATTTCTATTTGGGCTGCCTTAAAGCACGGCCATACAAATATTTAATAAACATAAATGAACAGTATTTAGCAGATACATACAACTTGAGTTTTGACATTAACGCGGGTATTGGCCAATTGAAAATAAAGCTGGCGTAAAACACGTACACACAAAGTGCTGGAAATGTGGGTCAAAGTGTTGTCATGCTGCCGTCAGGCAAAGGGCAGGCGATAAGCCAATTGCTGATAACAATCCAAGAATGAAAGGCTACGCTTATCAATTTATCTGATATCAATACGCAGCCCATGTCATCAAGAAAATATGCTCAACCACTTTACCCGCTGCGGGTTTGTTGATCTATCAAATTGTGTATGGGCATTTCTCGACTTTCTTATCACATGCACGACTTTCAGGAAGCCGCCAAAGATCTTTGCGCCATTTCAATTAGAGCACAACTGAAGGTGAATCGTGCGCTCGTAAACACGCAAATATACAAAATGCTCATTACAAAAATCTTCCAAATTATCAGCAAATGAATAGCGAAAATAGAACGAAACTGGCTGAAAACAAATAAAAGCTGCTCTAGTCGGGAGTGCCCCACTAAGGGATACCCTGCGGTAGCTAAAACATTAAATACTTGATCTGTATATACTTTTCTAGAAGCTACATGTCAGGTTATGTGACCCAAGCCATTAAAACCAAAGAGATTTGCTCAAAGAGTAAAGAATTTCGATATCGATTCTTATGGATTGCTTGGAAGCTGGGAAAGTTCTCGATTATAGGAAACAAACGCGTACTGCCCAAATGTTAGGAGGACCTGCGCTTAAATCTCTATCTCATATATCTCTCGACAACAGATGAACGGACGTGACTAGATCGACTCGACTATTGATGCTGATCAAGAATATATTTTTGTGGAGTTGGAGATGCTTCCTTCCGCTTGTTACATACGTTTGCATAAATTCAATGGGTCCAGGGTATAAAAACCCAATTTCATAGAGGCCATATCTACATCACAGTGGAGCTTGTTCGGAATAATTATAATGAGAAGTAGTTTCTTCATAAATTAACCGATTGTACGAATTCGACTTGAGATTTGAGAAAGGTAACTTTTTACAAAATAGTCTGAACGGGAAAATGTCAATAAACTGTATATAACTTTTAAGCAAGTTTTCCTTTTCGTGTAGTTTTCCCTATTTCAAGACTACCTTAAGTCACACCTTTAACGATTTTTCGGGTTTGTTCAACTCTCTTTAACTCGAACCAATATATTTCGATCCTTTTTTGCTATATTGTTCAATCTTCGCAAATAATTTGTGTGCCAATTCAATTCACAGTGTAATTCTTCTTTGCTTGCAGCCATGTCCACATCTACCACGCCCAAAACGCCTACGCCGCCCACGCTGCCGCCGGGCGTGACCAAAACATGCCACATAGTCAAGCGACCCGATTTCGATGGCTATGGCTTCAATCTACACTCGGAAAAGGTGAAGCCGGGTCAGTTCATTGGCAAGGTGGACGCCAACTCGCCGGCGGAGGCAGCCGGCTTGAAGGAGGGCGATCGCATACTGGAGGTCAACGGTGTTTCCATTGGCAGCGAGACACACAAACAGGTGGTGGCCCGCATCAAGGCCATTGCCAACGAGGTGCGTTTGCTGCTGATCGATGTGGATGGCAAGGCCATTGAGATGCCGTCAAAGTCGCCATCTTCGCCCGTGACCAATGGCAACGGCAGCAGCAGCAGTCCGCCCAGCTATGAGGGCACCAAGCAGGAGATACCCGGCGCCAGCGCCAACATCAGCAGCATTAGCGTGACCAGCACGAAGCGCATCTCGAATGCGAGCAGCATTCAAAGTGGCAGCACAATGAATGCCAGCGACATGGATGTGGTGGACAGGGGCATGCCCATGGCGCCAGCGACAGTGCCACTTGCAGCGCCAATCTCAGCTCAAAATGGCAACAAATCGCCGAGCAGCAACAGCAGCAGCAACAACAACAACATTAACAGCAGTAGCAACAACAACAACAACAACAATAACAACAACAGCACCAGCAAAATGATGAGCACACCGCCGCCGCCATCGGCCGCCGTGGCCAGCTTGAATAACAATGGCAGCGTCTACAGCAGCAGCAACAGCACCAACAGCAGCGCCGCCAACGGCAACAGCAATGTACTTGGCAATGGCAGTGCCACGCCCACAGTGCCAGCGCCCAATGGGGGCATGAATCGGGCGGGCAGCTTGAATTTGCCGCTTACCGTGGCCGAAATGCGTGCCAAATTGGCCTCGAAGAAGAAGTACGATCCGAAGAACGAGAGCGTTGATCTAAAAAAGAAATTTGAAATTATACAAAAACTCTGAGATCCCACTCTGTACATCCCACAGCCCACACCCACGCCCATCCCCCCATATCATGCACAACATTCTAAAAAACGTACTTGTTATTATGTGACACGAAGCGCACAAAAGAGACGATTAACTATTATATAATGGCTGGCAGATCCATATTATATATACATTTATATATAAACATATCTTGTCCAAACACGGAGTTTTTGCGATATGTTTTCTTTAGCTACGGCAGGCATAAATACTTTATAATACTTAATAAACTACCTAATTAATTAGTACGCAAAAGTCACTTATGAATTAAGCAAGTTTTAAATTAATTATTCTAGCCTAAGCTAAAGCCCCCCACACCCGCCCTCTCCCTTATCCTGCAACTAAACAAAATTTGAACCCAGAAAGCAGCGTATCGAAACGTATTGAAGCCCCAAAAAACTGTTTGAACTTGCGCCTAGTTAAAAAAGAAAAGACAAGCCCCACGAAAACATTTCATAAGAAAAGAAAATCTGTTGAAAATTAAGCATTTTTTTGCACATTTTTGTTTTTTGATAATTATACTATATACTAAGTTTTTGCTTTGCATTTTCGGCTAGTTCACTGAAATCTTTCGTTGAATTTTTACCATACCTATATATATATAAATATATATACACATTTGTACATGGTATATATGTCTGTATTTAGTTTAGTTATGTGCTTTTTACCGTAAATAAAGCAAAACAATGGAAAACAAAAGGCCTCGCTTTTGCTGTGACATGTGTTTTCTGTTTCATCAATTGAAATGAAGTTAGTTATTAATTTAAAAATAAAAGTTATTTCCGCTGAAGTTCGAATACACTTTCAGAGCTTAGAACCATATACACGTATTTTTATGCTTGAATATGTTGTGTTTATAGCTAATATGACTTAAATGCTGTCGTTAACTAATCGCAAGTAAGGTTGCAATAGAGAAAGCGATTAGTCAGCTCTTAATGCGCTATTGGAGTCTGTTAAGCACTAACGATCTTTGCAAAGTTATCTTATGTGGCTAAGTATCTGCAACTTTGGCAATTGATCAACGAATACAAAATAAATTGTTGCTTACCTCAACTAAACCAATAATATACAAAATGATTTCTCAAACATTTTAAAGATTGGCTGGCTGCCAAAGTGCCTTGCTAAAATGAATGACAGTTTCAAAACATCTGCCAGTTAGGGAATTAAAAGCAAACATCGCAATTTAAAACGCACGTCAGAGGCGCCAAACAGCTGCACAAATAGATCTTAACACAGCTCGTGGGTGTCTAAAGCACGGCAACTACGGCCATTTCGAAAAGGTTGTGTAAGCCATGAAAATATAAAATACTTGAAACTATATGAACACAAGGCATGGAATGGCATACATATATGTGTGCATAAATATAAACAATGCCTAGTTGCTAAAGGTCAACAATGTCAAATTGCAGTAGCCACCTCAGTAGCAACAGCAGCCGCGGCAACCTGTTGCACTGCATACTAAACACAGCTCTTTATGAAGCTTATGGCAAGAAGAAACGAATTTTTAAGCTCGGGTTGCCGACAATGTTATACCCTTGCTGACAGAAATGCCTGATATTTGTTATTTTGTTATTGATTATATTGATCGAAAGAAAACTCAATATTTGACCGATTGTTGCCATGGAAGAAACTATATGATATAGTGATATGTATACGCATATGTGCTACATGGCATGATTAAAGGCTTAAACAAATTTAAGGATATGTACAATATACTAAACGGATTCCTTGAATGTCTTGCTCAGTGCGTGACAAAGTTATAGGACCCGCTGCAAAGTGTATACAAAGCTATTAAAATATACACAAAATGCAATTGCTACAAGCAACAGCTACAGTAAATCAAGGGCTGTGCTAACAACAAAGAGCAGGCATGTGAAAGTGCCAGCTTCTGTTGCTGTTGCCGCTGGAAATTACAGTAATTAAAAGTGACTAAATACAACATTTAGTATCAAAATTTAAATTGTAATGCTAACATATTGTGTACATAATCGCGAGTGTAACGACCTTAAAACAGGTGTTGTTTAAATTTAAGCTAAACTTTTGCTACTCTACTGCTGCTGCAGATTACAAAGCGCCGCAGCGACAATCAGCATCTCGTTCAAATAACCGAGCAGTGGGGTCTGCTGCAAAGCACAGTGATCAAGTATCTTGAACTCTCGCAACGTGTCGATCGTGTGACGCATCTGTGTGCGACAGGCGGGCTCATTGACGCGCAACGTAGGCAACTGGAGCTGCGGTGCACGTGTGGAGGTGAGTGCGCCATTCGTGACGGACAGCGTTTGCATGTTGGCCAATTGGCCAGCCAATCGCTGTTCATCAAATTTGCTCAGGATTTGCTTCGGCTCATCATCCTGTGCCTCGTACTCCTCATCTGTTAGGCCATCATCTGTATTGGTTTTAGGTGAGCGTCTAACAGCTTTGCCTGGCTCCGCGCATAGCGTTAAATACTTGGGTATAATGTCCTTAAAATTGGAAGTCTCAAACAATTGCAGATCATCGCAGTCGCCACGAAAGGCATCTGACACATAGCTAATAACACCTGGAAAATAATTACAATTGATCAAAAGAAGAGTCGGAAAGTCTGCAAAGTACTCACCATTCGTGTTGAGGCACAGGATAAACTTGTAGCTGTCGCAGCCAAAATTGAGCGTCTCGCTCACCTCCGTCTCAACGCACTCAATCAGCGATCGCACATGCAGCAGGTTGGCTCTGTAGGCTAATGGCATGTGCTTTAAGCGTTCAGAGTAGTGCTTGGCGTCTGGCCAGCGGATGAGCGGACGCAGGCAGCGTGCCAGCTTGACAAGAGTACGCTTGAATGTCTGTTCCACATCTTGCTCGCTCAGCTCAAAGAACTCGGCGAGTAGGGCAAAGGGTTCGTTCAGACGCAGCTTTCGCAGCGTTACGCAGCAGTCCAGATGCGACAGATTAGCGTATTTACAAATGTGCCGCTTAAACAGTGGCAAATGTGCGCTAGATACGCCCAGATGCAGCGTGGGGGCCATATCAATTGAGCCCAATGTCATGCTGCGCATGGTGCGTTGTGGCATGTCGCGTTTCAGGAAAACAGCCTGACGCACCGCGGAGGCGACCGCAGGTGCTGCGGCAGGGGACGACGCTCCTGTGCCCAGTGCACTTACATGACCTGGCAACGGGCTGTTGGTCGTGGATACGGGCTGTCTAGTGGTTGCTTTTATAATCGTATTGGGCGGTAGGGAACTAATCGCAGCGCCTAACGATTCCTTCTTAATGCTAGCCAGCGGTGAGGACGACGTTTGCCAGGCCAGTGAAGGGGACGATGCACTGGCATAGCTGCTCGACTGCATCACATATTTTGGTGTCTTTACCAAAGGAGCGGCTGTGAAATGTGGACTAGGTGAGCAAATATTGCATGCAGCAGTCAAATCATACTCACCTGGAGATGTTGCGCTGCTGGAGGCGCGTTTCATACTCGGCTTGATAATAGCTCCGGCAGGTATTTTGCCGAGAGCAATAGTAGTGCCTGCTACCTTCTGTAATGCATGATAATACAAATTAAAATAAAATCAAAGAGAAATTCAAGTGTTTTCTAAAACAACCACATGTTCATTGGGTTGCCACATTGCCGGAAAACAGCTGTTTGTGGCAACTCAGCATATGTATGTATATATTTTCAACGCATGTTTGTATACCTTGACAGTTTGCTGTGGCTGCACTTGCACTTTAGGTCTAAATATCACAGTGGGCGTTATGGGCAGAATGCCGTCAGCTGTTTTTCGATATTTGACTATGGTAAGCGACATTGTGAAGTGCCGAGAACTGCAAACAAGTTTTATTGCACTTTTTGAGAAGAATTATTGCACTTTTTTATCAGAGGACGCCAATCGCAGCGTCTCTCTGCAACCCTGCAGCCCACACAATCGATAGATCGATATGCATCGCACAACAATCGATGAGTGCTGCCAAGCGACTTTTTGCCCAAGATTGTCCAACACTTGCGCGACCAGTTAAATCGGCGCGCCTTTTCGTTTTTCATTTCATTTTCAACGCTCGACTACCACGTACGCGACTCGAGAAACGATTGAAAGCTGTTGCGCGCTGCGGCGACTTGCATTTAACGAATTTTAACTTCCATTAAGATTTAATCGGTTAGTGGCTTAAGTGTTCCATTTCTATAAATACAACAAGTGTTTTAAATTATTGATTTTATAAGGCATATTAAATCGTTGCCACTAAAGTATCTTATAACAACGATAACAATAAAAACCTTCTGCCAAAACGGTGACCCTGAATGCTCAAGACCCCAAAAACGCGCAACGCATAGTTAATTAAGCAATTTTCATGCAACACCGCGCGCAGCTTACAGGTCTTCGTATACAAATATGTATACACCTACGTACATGCATATATTTATATACTTCTCTTTCGCGTATCATTTATCACAGGCAAACCACAAAATCATTATCAGCACAAATTGCGCATCCGACACTAAAAGATAAACAACGAGAATATGCGCGTATCAATGAAATTGTATGCCGTATGCCGATAAGAAAAACTTGGTGTGGCTCGGCACGGCTCGGCTCGGCCATTTATTTAACCAATTAATGCATTAACGTGAAGTAAATAACGCATTGAGCCAGCCAAGCCAAAGGCCACTTGCTAAATTATAAAGTTGAACGCACTCTTTCCCCCCAATAGCTCACAAAGAGTCCAACTTTATTTTAATTAAATTATTTCTTTTTTTTTTTTTGTCGCTTGTTTGTGTGGGTTAAGCTTGTGTGAACCGAGCTGCGTTTCAATACACACACGCGCACACCCACATAACAATTACAATCGGGCAACGTCATTTGGATTACTAAACAACCAGTGTTTATTGACAAAGGCGGCAAATACTTAACAGAAAGAAACTGCTGAAATATTAATCTACAGTGTGCGAAAACACACGAGAGTCTACCTAAATTGACATAGAGGTAAACGGCTTCTTTACTATTTGCATGTTATTTAGTTACATTTCGCTTCTTCTTCTCTTCTTTGATCTTGGTGCTAAATTATTATTAATTTTACTGTCTCTACTTTCTTTAGTGCAATAAATACATTTGTTGTTAACCGCCCCTTCTGCCACACATTTGATGGGTTAGGTGGCAGCCCGATTTAGACAAAATGAGTTGCCACATAGTTTTTTTTTAACTAGGACTTTTAAAACGAGCGTTATTTTATCTAACTTTTTGATATCAAGTAAATTCATAGACTACAAATTGAAATTCTACACAATATTAGATGATTACTTTTCTCTCAGTGTATGCCAAGTACATCCATATGTTTCATCTTTAAACACAACTGTGTATTTGACCGTTGCCACCTACTTAAGTCGTCTCAATAGCCATTAATAAACAAACAAAAGAATATTATTCATGTTGTTCACCATGTCGTGAATTCGATACGTGGCACCAATCCGCTGCACCACCCGCACCACCCAAGGCAACTCAATATTTGCCACATTGCAATTAACAAGACTCATAGCAAATTGTCAGTAACTTTACACGCTCGAATTGAATGACGTAAATCGGCCCGTGGATGGTATGAAATAAAAAGTGCTAAATCAACACCCACCCGACAATACGAGTAGTAGCTAATGATCCCCCGCAAAATATGAACACCTGCAGCTACCTGCATTCGATTGTAACTCACAAATTTTGCAAATTTCTCATAACGTTGTTTTTTAATGTGCATATACCCTATGCTAATAAAAAATAAAATATTATTAAAAATTAAAAGGCTTGTTGACAATTAGAGTGTAATGCAATTTACGTTGTATACGCAAAATATATATATATATTCCGGATTGCGCTTACGTATATATAAACCTAGACTTAAACTTCCAAATCGGATAAAGACTAATAGGAATAGGTTTGATGCACTGCTTGCTCCGATTACAGGGTATCCTCTAGCCTAGTAGTAAGCATGATTTTTCATAGACGTCAGACGACCGCAAATTTATTTGCGTCTAAATTGCATGTAATCGTGGATTAAATACAAATATTTTGTTTTTAAAGTATTATATCCGAACCGTGACCAGAGTGGAGGCTTCTGTGGTTTGCTCTGTTTGGTTTAGCCTATCAAAAATGCAATTAAATGTATTTTGGCATTTTAATGAACTGCGATTTGATAAACCAATCAAAAATCGAAAGTCAAATTGCTCGAATCGTTTGTCATGCGCCAAATCAGAGCCAAATGCAAAAGTCAGCGAGAAAATGACGACAAAAATCAAGCAATAGTGTTGCACTCAGACACGCACGACTGTGACATACTCTGTTTCAAAAAATGGGTGGGAAAGCAGCTTTTGGAAAATGAGACAAATGAGCAAACATACTTTTGTCCCACCTTTAGGGAGCTAAGCCAAAGTCCACATCAAAACTTATTATTTATATACTCTGAATAGTTCTGCAGATTTTCATGTTTTGCGCGGAGAAATGGAACGTGCCGCACATTTCTGTCTTTTTTAAGTGGCTGGAGAACATTAAACAAGCCTAATATACAGAGTTTTACCCCAAAAGCAGTGTATAAATATATTGAAATTCCGAGAAAAAAAACAGTTGATTACGGGGTGCAGAGTGGGAAGGAATTGCCGTCCACTGCGCCTGCGTAACTGTCAACTGTTGTAAAAAATCAATAACACAAATGTTAACATGGCTAAAATGCTAAAATAAAATATAAAAAAAAGGCTCACAAAACTCGAATTGAATTGAATCAGACTCGGACGCGATCTGTGACTGCCAACTGAAAATAAAAAACGAGTTGCCAAGCCGGCAAAAACAACAGCCAATAAAAAGAAAAAAACGAAGTGAGAATGTTGCAGTCGGGTGCAACTGACTGCACAATACACGCTCACATCAACTATCCAAATGAATTCTGAATATACATATCTATAGAGGAGCACGTAAGTGGACTTCATCTAAACTTAAGTCAATGCTTTCTTGAGGGGCGACGGATCGATCTTTAGGGAAAGCAGCTACTTTGTGCCTCTAACCTCAAAATGATGGGCTGATTTTGTAGCCCTTGTGGGCGTGGCTCAAATATTTGATCACCACACACAGGTTCAAACCAGTAAACACATATTCCAATATAAGCTATTCAATTGCCGTCTCCAGCACAGATAGATAAAAGTTGAGCACAACCAATATACCCCTTTCACTTTGCGAGCGTGTATAGAAATAAAAGAGAAAAACTCGCATTGTATTAGCCAAAATGCTTGACGTTAATTTAAGGCGCTGCAGTGGCCCGATCTAACGTTCGGGCCAATGGCAACTGGCCGCATTTGAAGTATTGAAGTGAGTAAAAATAAAAAATAAATCACGCGACACATTTGGTTAATAAAAGTTGCTAATGAGTGCTTCGAGGCGTTGACTATTCGATGTGATGTGATTTTATTATATTGATTAACCAATGGGAATGCGATTCAGACAACAAGGAAAGGCGTGATTGATTGGGATCGTGATTGATAATCTGATTGGTTTGAGCATACTTTAAATCAGCTAAACTTTAAAATTCCTAGCTATTTAATTCGAATTAAGTTAAAAAGGTACATTCCGTCATTTTTATTCAGATCAAATACCCTTGTACTTAAAGCTATCGTATTGAAACTTCGTACAGGTCCGTCTTTCTGTTGCAGGCAGTGCATATTTCGCAACCGGTCGGATCGGCGCAGTATATCATATATCTGCAATCGGAACGATCGAAATGTAGGTTCTTGATGGAAAAGTTTTTTGTTGATCAAGGTATCTTGACATACAAAGTTGTAACAAAATCGAACCAATATATCATGAAGCCCAGTTTACTTAGTTTACGAACTTCACTATTCTTACATATCTGCAAAACCGAAGGACAAATGTCTACATATTATTATTAAATCTTCGGGGTTACGAAAATATCCATACTATACACAATCCCCTTACAGAGCTCTTGTTATTTGAACAAACCTATAATTGAAATTGTGTCAGTAAAATTTAAAATTGAAATACTTGAACAAAAGTACTGAATTTTAAATTTAAACCTTAAATTGAATTTTCAATCAAAAGCCTAGACACAAAATAAAGATCGATGATGTCTAGTGCAAGATCTGCAGGGATTACTTATTCCAATTAATGCACTTACTAGAGTTTACTGTGATATTATAAACTATTGAGGAATAGAGTACATATATAATTCATTCATTCATAAGTAGACTAAGCATTAGCATATGCTACTTAAGTCAACAAATTGCCAGCATCATACAACAGAATTCCACTGCAAGAGTTTATAAACCTTCATTCGGCTAATCGAAACTCATACGAAAACTACCTAATCGATTGACTCATGAACATATATCATCAAATAACTTAATGAGCATCAAATATCGAGCTTAATGGAATCTTGGCCTGAGCCCATTCAAAGAATCTTGTGGCCTGTAGCTGTTGCTGTTCATTGAAAACTGAAAATTGACTAAACTGAAGTGCATTCATAAATATTTAACAGGAATTGCTAAATTGGGCACTAAGTAGTCGCTAATTTAAGCAGTACAAGACCGAGAGACACATGAAAATTGTTTTTAGGCCTGGCTCCGATTCGGCTGCGGAATGGAAGAGTGTAAATTGTTGGCTTAGTGGGCAACGAAGCCCGCGTCGAGTGTTGACTACAAAGTTAAGCGCCAGCTGAGACTTGAAAGAAGGGTGACAGGCGGGTACAGACGGGGGGTTGGGACGGGTAACGGACGGCTGTATGTTCGACACTTAATTTATGTGCACTAAGTAAAGATTTTGCCTGCCATTTGCGACAAAGACAAAGTAGTTGCAAGCCATGTTGTGGTCGTGCCTGGAACACATGCGATTGTGCCGCAAAACGTGTCGGTTTTATTAATTAGCCCGGAGTCGGCCCAAACTGGCAACCATAAGGTGCATGCCACTTGCCAGTTATGTGATCAGCAATGTGGCTGCCTCTGCGCCACAGATGTGCATTCGGTGGGAATATCATAGGTCAGCATTTACAGACCTTATAACAAGCTAACACGCAACCAAAATACCCCTTCCCTGACTCCGGACTCACCTGATAATCGTGCCATTGTCGTGCCGGAGAACCAAATGATTTCATTATGCTCAACTTTGCCGCGGCTTGTTCTAACATTTCGCGCGCCCGATTCAGTTTCATGTTGATGTCAAATCGCGCTAATCGTGCGAAATTTGATTCAGTTTCGAATACCATTTTGCGGATGTCACAATTAATCGTATAACTGCAAAAACTTTTGAATGGTGATGGGGCCTACTATGTGGCTTTCGAAGAGTCCACTTTACCAATAGTGTTGAATAATATCGATATATGTACAATGAAATTAAATTCAGTTTTTCACTAATTGGGCTTAAAAAGAATTCACATTTTTTTTTACGCAGATAATATCGTTTCGACCATATAGTTTAAAGCCGCGTCTTAAACACTTCGACTTTGTTTAAGTTGCGATATTCAAGACTCCAATATTGAACAGCACTTCATCTCTGCCATGATCTATTACGATGTTTTACAGCACTAACTCTAGCTTATCAATATAAAGCAATACGCAAGTTCGAATAATTATTGAAATAAAAACTACATTATAAACTTTAGCTTGTATGGATGGGGATCTTGGGATCCCCTTTAAGCTACACAACATTGTATATAAGTATACTCTATTTTGATAGTAAATTCGCTTGGTAGAGATCAGAAGGCACTGATCGCTTCCAGCGCATAACAAAATAAACTGAATTATTAATAAAAAAAAATTGGCTTAGGGCTATTAAAACACAGCTCCTTAAAGCTAATACCATTTTGCAACGAAGTGTGTAAAGCCTCAAGAAATTTAGATATCCCAAAGTATTTATATTCTTGATTTAAAAAGCTTTCGTCGTTTAGCTGCCGATCTAGTCACTCTGTTTTTAATCTATCTACATATATCACATTGTTGTCATGCGACCAGCCAAAACTGTTTCTGTTTTGCAAGATATTTAAACTTATCTCTACAATTACAAGTTTCAGTGTTGCAAAACGATCGGTAAATAACATTTCCTAGTTTTATATTCTTTCACAAAGCTTGACAAAATCCTTTTTGAATTTGAGCAAATTTCGAATGTGGATTAGTATATTCAAAAGCGCTAGTAGGAAATATCGCTTAAGAGTTTTATTTATAAATTCAAAATTTCTTGTTGCCTGAGATCGTGCGACTAAATCGCACATCTCTTATTTATGTAACAGGGTATTAAATTAATATACTAGATGTGTTAGCTTATAACTAATCGTCAAGGGTATTAAGTATATATATTAGATATGTTATCTAATAGAGAGAGTCAGTGGGTTGCGGACTTGAAAATCAGGCCAGGCTATGGCTGTACTATACAGAGGTACTTAAAAATTGGCTTGATGAATGTTAACTACAGCTACAAAGTGTGGTTAACTATATAGTGTGGTTGACGTGGTCACGTAAGCGCCTAACACCCAAGCCAATAATTATTATCTATTTGAAGTAGTACGTTGTGTGCCCCCCATGATGTATTAGGCCATCAATCAGCTGCTAATTGGACGCAATTTCGTACCCCCCTTCGTGATGGCAACTGGTGCGGGCTCCAGTTGCAGCTCGATTGGAGAATTAACATAAGAAATGACTACAAATTGCACCAAATAACAAAGCCAAAAAGCTAAAGCGAGTTCTTTGCGTATTTGGTTTCATTAAATGTGCTCCAAGCGTGAAAACGTGATAGAATTTCAGTTTTCGCATTTGGCCATAAAACGGACAGATCGCAATTTTTGAATTGCGCACAGTTTGGTAATCAGTCGTCGAGCCATGTTTTGAGATTTGTTTGTAGCTTTATTCTCAAGCCCGTCCAATTACATGCGACATGAACATAAATAACATTTTATTAAGTGCTAATTTCTGTTTTAGTAGCTCCAAACAGGCCAAACATTTGCCCGCTGCCGATTTCGCTCGGCAGATAAGTTCAAATTTGTTCGCTTGCCACATGCACATTTTGGCCAAGGAGCCGCTCTCGGCTCAGATTGGCGCCACAGATTGTGGCAGCTGAGTTGCTGCTGCAGCTGCGTGTGGATGGGTGTGGTTAATGGAGCTGCCAGCGAGCATTGGGATGCAGAATGTGAAGGTAGAAATTAGGTGAACGCTTTTTTGGGTCCATGTTCAGATACGCATCAGAAATGGCCAGGAAAGTGAGCCAAGTGAAAATCATACGCATATGAAAGCCATTAAAGGGTCTGTATATGGAAATCAGGTAGGCAAAAGAAGGAGCACAACAGAAGATTGGGTCGTTAAAAACACAGAACAAGAAACCTGATACTAAACAACTTCGTAGTAAGCCAAGGTTAAAAGAAAGCCTTATGTAGCTTAAAGTGAAAATCTATAATAGACATTCTTTTAAGAATTGGAAAATAAAAGATTTGAGAATGAACGCTAAAGCTTTTCGAAAAAAAGAGAGTCTTTATTTATTTACGATATTCTACTATTGTTATCTGATCTTTACTAGCATCCTGCGTTTAACTATGAGACTTTACGTTGGGCATTTAGATCTTTAACGGTCGTCCGACATATCTTAAAACTGACAGACAAACAGACGAGCGAGGCTATATCAACTCTGCTGCTGACCTAGAATATACATACTTTATGGAATTGAAGATCTTCTTCTGTCAAAATTATAATATCCGCTAAAAGAGTATAATAAAGTTTCTACAAAAATCAAATTTTCGAACAATCGAAGCTGTGACAGTTTTATTAAAATAGTTATTCAATCTGCGAAACGTGAACTCCTTCAGTTAACCACTTCAAATCCAGAACTAAAATATATAGTTTGAAGGTGACCAGAAGAGCCTTGTTTAATTTATTTAAGTAATGACATTATAATATAGGCAATGCAAAAAACAAAACTCAATGTTTTTTTTAGGAGTAGAAAAATCTACAATCCCTTAGCTGACTTATATTGCCCCTAATTCTATCCCTATCTCCGGCAAGCTATTTGCCCATCTTATAAAGCGCCACTACGGCCACACCCATCAGCAGGACCACAAAACCCACGCTGCCAAACAAAGCAATCGACTTGGTTTTTTCAGCCACATTCGCATTGGCCAAATCGCTGACAACTGCCGGCTGCTCCGCCATGGAGCTCATGTGCGGCATAATTACCCTGAAGGTTATCTGAGACAATTCCGATGCCTCTGTTCCATTGCCATGGGCACCCAGCCGAGTATCCCGTCGTCGTCTCTGTGCCACACCTGGTTGGCAATCCTGCGCCGTTAGCTGGCAATCTTCGCGCTCCAGACAGGCCGTAATGCGCATGGACATGACCAGCACATCGCCGCTGTGCATGCCCGGAAACATGATGGCTCGAAACTGCAGTCGCTGGCCCAACGGCAGCTCAGGGCTGGGCGCATGCGCGCAGATGCTCTGCATGGCGGGATTCAGACAGCCGCGTGGGGTGATCAGCTGGGCGCTATTTAAAAGCTCGCCAGCTGCTGAGATGCGTTGAAGCTGCACGTCACTTAGCTTGGTGTAGTTCCAGCCTGGTAAAGGGAGAATTCATTCTCTATTCACGAGTTTAAACACTAAAATATTAAATACAAGCACACACATAGACATAACATTAAGCTTTAAGAGAGCCTGAATGCACACAGCCAGTACAAATCATCTCACAAAAAATTTGCATGTGCTTTGAGAGCTTTAAGTGAGCTTTTATGTGAAATTTATCTCAAAGAAAGCTTTTATGTGCTTTGATGTTAAAGTGCTTGTTTTTGAGCTTTAATTTTTTGTTATTACATTTAAACCTTACAGAAAGCTTCGATAAGAGTAGGCAGGAAGATATGATATGCAAGCTTTAGTGTATAGAAATGTAGAAGTTCTCGAATGGATTCAGGTGTTAGCCGAATCTATATTCGGCTATATTAAATCTATATTTAAACTAAACAATTTTAAACGCCGATAAAGTCAGCCTTATTGCATTAAGAGCTTTCACTTAACCATGCAAAACACTGTTATGTGCTTATAAAAACTTTTATATTAATACACATCTTTAAACTTACCATCGCCTGCCAGGACATGTGCGCGCAGCAACAGCTCCTCACCCAGCTGTACCGCGCCATTGCTCTCCAGGTGTCGCGTATATCCATTGGTGCCCCGTCTCAATAGCTCCACGTGGGTGCGAAAGGCATTCTGATTGCCACCATGGGCATGGCTGCCAACACTGCGTGCCTGCCTGCGCGACAAGAATGGCAAATATTACTCAAATCCTATGGGCACACTACAGTCCTCGCCTTACACATCATTAGCCACGCCCATTTTCAGTGCATGCGTCTTGACCGCCACGCGTTCCTGCGTCTTGCAGTGCAGCGTCAGAATGGAGTCGCCGCCAGTGCGAAGGCCACGTATGGCCGGAAAACGCAGACGCAGACACAAGTCCTGACCACAAGTGTGCACTCCGCAGCGCTCAAAGTCTGCGCCCGCAATGTCCAAGAGCAGAAAGCTGCGCGACAGCTTCAGCTCGCAATGTTTGTCTTGCACTTCCTCGTTGTCGTTTTCCAGCACTGGCGCGGCACCCAGAAAACTGTCCAGTTTTAGCACTGCACGAAAGTAGCCCGACTGCAGGCAGCGCATATCCTTGAGACGCAGGCGCAGCTGTTGCTGTTGCGGACTGTTCTCCGCTGGCGGCAAGTAGACGGGCGCTGGCGTTGAGGGGCGCTGCTGCGGCGCATTATAATCATAGCCAGGTGAGGACAAAGGCTCATCATCATCTCCGGGCTCCTGTACAATGATGGGGCGTGGCGTTGTTGTTGTTGTCGTGGGAATGCGCGTGGTGCTGCTGGCGCTGGGCTGTGGATAATAGTAGCCCTCGAATTCATGGCTGCGGAACGGAAAGAAAGAGTGTACTGAAAGCTTATATAAAAGCTTCTGAGCTTTAAGCTGTTTAAATAGTCATTAATGCTTTAAGCGAGATATGTATCAAACCCCATTTTCATAGAACACTTGAATTGTAATTTATAAAGTCAATTAAAAATCCTTTAAACAGAGGGCTTTAAGTGAGCTTCTTAAGCCGCATCTTGTTTTAAGCTTTAAGTCGTTTTAATTGCAATTACTAAACGCAATGAAGAAACCCGAGATCAGGAAGCTGAATGTGGGCTTGATATTGACAGATTTTTCTTTAATGCTTAAATCCGTTTTTGTGACAGCTTTAAGTTGTCTTTTCTCAAGTAATTTTTGGTAAAAGCCTCAAATCGTTTTTACTGTATTTTTATACCCTGAACCCATTAAAAATGGGTACAAGGGTATATTGTATTTGTGCAAAATCCAAATGTATGTAACAGGCAGAAGGAAGCATCTCCGACCCCATAAAGTATATATATTCTTGATCAGCATCAATAGCCGAGTCGATCTAGCCATGTCCGTCTGTCCGTCTGTCTGTCCGTCCGTCCGTCCGTCCGTCCTAGAAGAGCTAGACTTGAAATTTTAGATGTAGATGCTCCTAGTTCCCGCGCAGATCGAGTTTGTTTCCGATAATCGATAACTTACTCCGTTTCCAAGCAATCGATAAAAATCGATATCCTGTTTTTTGGGCAATTTCGGTAAATAATAAGAGCTAGAGTCACCAAACTTGACATATAGCTTCTAAAATAGAATATATATGCATTTGATGTTGCAAGAAGAGGGTTCAGGGTATCCCCTAGTCGGGAGCTCCCGACTAGAACCTCTTACTTGTTTTCTTTAAAGCTTAACGACGATTTAATTGAAATTATTGAACAAATAATAAGCTAAGATTGAAGTCGGCCTTTTAGTTTGGACCTGTAGCCGTGTTGATTGCAAATGATGAACACAATAAGGATAGCCGCGGCAGGATTAAAAGTTTAATCAGATTAGCCTTGCTTAAGACCTGTCACTTAAATATTCTACAAACCTTGGCTTAGGAATTTCATAGCTGGGTCGCTCCTCATTGCTGGGTGGAAGGTAATGCTGGCTCAGGGGAATAAAATTTCCATGTCCCTGGCTGGAACCCTTAACGCTGCGGTTCTCAATGATCTCTGGCAGATTAAACTCCGTGGTAGCAGGCGCTACGGGTGCCACAGGTGCGGGAGTCACAGGACTGCCAGCTGGTGGTCCATACAGAGCAGGTGGCGCAAAGGCCAGCTGAAAGGGCGTTTGTCCCTGCTGATAGCTGCCAAATTCGGAGGGTGCCGCAAAGAAATGAGCCACATCCGCGAAGGCACGTTCAAGCAGCAGCAAAGTAGAGCTGACAATTAGCAAGTACGTCCAATTGGGCGACATTCTGTGCAATCACTAACTGATCCAGCCATATGTGGGAGAGCTTTTATAAGCTAAAGCCGCATAATCGATAATCGTGATTTCGGCTGACCCAAAACTTTACTTTCTATGCGTTTAAGGCACACGATTTTGTTGTATTGTGTCGATTGTGACAACTTTCCTTGATCACGAACGATGCGGCGGGGCAGCATTTATTGGGCCAGGTTATGTAAAAACTAATTGCTGTTAGTACTCCCTAGACGATACCACTTTGACACCCGTATCTATGGCCATCCTCCGTCAACTTCACTTGTCGCAACCAGTGCCAAATCCACAAATCATTTGCCATTTGACATGCCGCCGGCGGACAACTAATGACAACACGCATTCACAACATTTTGGCCACATTGCAGACATCCGTTTGAAATGGTCAAAACAAAAAGACACGAGCGCCAATCAAACTTAACGAGCCCGTCGTTAATGTGCCCAAAGATGGTAGCACAAAGTAAAAAGTCATCAATAACAATACAATAACAAAACAAAACTTAAGATGCATATATCTGACTAAAAATACCTACTGTTATATATTGAGTAATGCCAAAGGCTTAAAAATACTTCAGACTTAATCTCATCATAAGTCTGTCATTTTTGTGTGGGAAGTGCCTTTTTTGCCGGTAATGAAAGACTTATGGGAAATATAATTACACATTAAATTTTGGGCACAGAAAGACGGATGTTGAGCTAAATAAATTCGGGTCTAAGAGAGTCACATTTATTACAGGTAATTTATTTTATTAAATATAACAAACAGAATCCTTTTCTTTTGAGTGGTCTGTAGACTGTTATTGTGCTTTAAGAAACTAGACACATCTTTAGATGTAAGTCTTAGTACGTAAATCCTTAGCACAACTAAGAGATATATATATAAAGTTTCAGATTTTATTTTTACAAGTTTATATTACAGAAATACAAGCAGGTTGCATCTGTTATATTAGTAAAAGCCTGATAAAATACCGGTGCTGCCACGTAATGCAAACTATATAGAAAATGGCAGCACTATGCAATATTTATAAGAGATTTCGCAACACTGTTAATTAAAATTTAACATGAGGATAAGGATGTGCTCACAAAGTGCTTAGTTAGCTTATCCCTGCATGTGCTTTTTATAGGGTACTTGGCTGATTTTACATCAAAAACTTTGGCTAAGGAGCTTTGAATTTTATATTCGAGCAAATGATATGGGTTGCTTGATTTTTTTAACTTTGCATCTGTCTAGTTGTTTTTTGTTTTTATTATTAATCCATGTTCCTTCTTCACATTTTCCAATTATTCGCTTAACGTAGGCTTTTCTGCCTTGCGGCTCAAGTCTCCGTTAATAATGTCATTCATAAATTTAATGCAATTTCAACATGACATTTATGATTTGAGGCAATTATTTTTGATTATAATTGTTTGTCTGGGGGCTTATACATACTACAAGACTGTGTTCTTCACGTTGTTGTTGTTGCTGTCGTTGCGCTATTGCTGTTGTTGTTGTTGTAGCAGGTTTTCGCCTTGACGTCCAAACTAAAACCCACTTCCAGCATGCCGTTGCCATCGACTGCCACAGCCACAGCCACAGATACAGATACAGATACAGATACAGATACAGACACAGATACAGATACAGATACAGATACAGATACAGATAAAAGTCTCTCATGGGCACCGGCACCCAAAAGATTGACAACAACGCGCAAAAATTTGCCACATCAGCCAAATCGAATGGCAATTAATTGATTTAACATGAGCAGCGCTCGCCACACACAGTTTACGACATCGAAATAATTAATGAAACCCAAATAGGCACGAACTGTATCGTATATCGCATATCGCATATCGCATATCGTATATCGTGCAATATATCGGCTATCGATGACTGCAATTAGTGTTACGATCAGTTTAATTTATTCCCTGTCAAATGTTGTCAACTGTTTTTCAGGATCTCACTTGTGCCAGCATGCCAGGCACCTCATTCCCAACGAATAACGATAATTTCAGCAACGGCTTCCCCATGATCAGCACACAGGCGGAACGTATGCTTCAGGCCCAGAACCGACGCAAATTCAGTTTTCCGGCCACGCTTCACTCAGCGGCGCTGCTCGAGGTGGGTCAGCGGGAAATGACACGCAGGCGTCTGAGCAATGTCAGCGATGTGGTTACCCGCAAACTGTCCTATACAATTGGCTGGAAAGCGGCTCAAATACCTGCCCAGGACATAATCACACAGGTAACAAAATCTAAGAAGTATACGTACATGCATTCATGTTTAGCTTCTTCCTCTAGGGACGCTGCTTGTGTGGACACTATATTAAGCGGCGTCTGCGACGTTCCGGACTCTTTAACAAGAAGCTGGGACTGCAGCGCATTCGCAGCATATTGGGCAACAGCAACACCACCATAGGCATAGTGCGAGATGTGTTTCCAGCGGTGCAGGTGGTGAGTATTTGCATCAGTAGAACTTACTCCTTAAGGCTCTTATGCTAACAAAACCATTTAGGGTATGCGAACTACCACATTATAAACTATCATTAAGTCATCTGTATTCCCAGTTAGGTGACGAACTGGAACGCATGCATCCACGCATCTACAATGGTGTCGCGAGACAGATATGCCGCAATCCTGGCGGCGAGTTTCACACGCCCGATGCTGTAAGTCTGCTGCTGGGCGCGGTGGGTCGTGAACTGTTCCGTGTTGAGATCACGTGGAGCAAGGTCATCTCGTTATTTGCTATAGCCGGTGGTCTATCGGTGGATTGTGTGCGCCAGGGTCATCCCGAGTATTTGCCAAAGCTTATGGAGAGCGTCTCGGAAGTAATCGAAGATGAGCTGGTACCTTGGATAAATGAAAATGGTGGATGGGTAATATCAAATGTGGATACTCTACTAAAATGGTTGTAACTAACCTATTCATTGCCGTTGCAGAGTGGCATCAATACGCACGTATTACCCACAACCAACAGTCTAAATCCTTTGGAGTGGACAACGCTGGTCATTGGTGTTGTATTTGGTTTGATTTTACTTTTTATGTTTTTTCGCTTTATTGTCAACACATTGATTCCCAAAATATACCAACGATTTACGAGCTAATTTAAAAACGCAAAAGTGGGAAAGATTTTAACTTTGATATTTGATATTTTAAAGTTGCCCGCCGTTGGACAATGTGACCTTCATAAATTAAGAAACTAAATACCGCGCGTGGTATTTATTTAGGTGCAATTGCACAGAGTTGTATAGTAAATATCGATATTTTTGTGAATGCAGCGTTTTCAAATTACTTAGCGAAATTGCTTGCTGTTGATATATTTGTAGTTTTTCAATTGCACTACAACGAAAGTCTACGTCACAATGTCAGTTCCAATATGCCAAAAAAGTCTATTTATTATAAAACTAAGCAAATTCACAAACCATATGAAATTGGCGCCATACTTAAGTTATGCAAACACGACAGACGCATTGGACAGGGCTGTTATAGCTGTCTCGCTCTGAAGAGCTTTTGGTTGCGTGCTTTTTTGGAGCTCGGCCCCAAAGCGGGCAGCGCAGCCAAACGAGCAGCAGCTGAGTTAACGGCGCACACTCTTACGCGTTAGAACATCGGGGCCGCTAAATTTGTGACCGAGACGGAGCGGCAATCCCCCGACGTTTGCACAATTTTTTTTTCGTAGATTTCTCGGTTAAAAGTTCAAAGCAAAGTGAAGCGAAGCGACAATAAAAACACACGCGCCGCAGAAAAAAAAGGTAAAATAAAGACAACAACAACAAAAACAAAAGCGAAAAGAAAGCAGCAGCAGAGGCAGCTTGAAAATCAATCGCCCAGCAGCAACAGCAACAACAACAAGTTTTTAGTTGTTTTCTTTTGTGTGCGCCGTTCGTGTATGTTTGCCTGGTCTACGCTTTGCGCGCAACATTTATTCTCGGTTTTTTATTTTGTTTTGCACATTTTATCAAGCCAAACCACCTCCAAAAAAGCGCAAAACTAGCTGTGCTCATTGCAAGGCGACAATCAGCGAAAGCAACTGTAATATTAAAAGCTCGACTTTTACACAACTTGCATGCAGCTGAAGCTTACGAAGGGGAGGCAGTGGAGGCTGCTACAGCTACAGCTACAACAACAACAACAGCAGCAGCAACAGCAGCCGCAATAAGAAGATCAAGAGCGAGAACTAAGCTTGGCCCATTGTCCAGCTGCAGCGAAGCATAGCCTGCGCAACGTCGCCTTAATGACGATGGCCATGGCACCGACCACAGCTGCTTCCGCCACCAGCACCGCCACCCCCAAAAGCCCAACACCCACACCGACCCCCAAGCTGGCCAAGTTCAAATCCTCATCGCTGGACCATGAGATCTACACGGCAAATAGACGCAGCACCATTGCCACCGCAGCCAGCGAGTGGAAAACTTTGCGAGCTCCGCTCAATGGCAGATCCGTGCATGTGGGCAGTGGCGGCAGTGCTGGAGCCGGGCCAGGGGGAATTGCTGGGCACATGACGCGCGCCGCCTCAACCTCATCGCTGGCGAGCAGCACACGCACCATGACCAACTATCAGGAGTACAAAATGGAAATTATTAATCAGGTAAGTCGCCAACAAGACGGGCGCGATAAAAAGTGATAGCTAAGAAGACCGCACCACGATATACCCTGTATTCAAGCTCAATTTATTAGCGAAGCCACATTTGAGAATATTACAAATATATGTTGTGTAATCAAAGTTGATCAGTAATCATGCAACACGTCTTAATTTCTAAAAAATTATAAAAAAAAAATAAAACTAGTTGCGACACCGTTTTTTCAACATTTTATATTCACAGGGTATATGAAAAGGCTGTGCAAACAAATTATACATTAATATATTTTGGTTAAAATTTAGGCAAATAATGAAACAGTTGGTGGTCTCATTTTTGTTTACCTAGAAAAAAATTCAATTTGAGAAAATTACCTAAGTTGTGGGCGTGGCTGTGCGGTATATAAGCCCTCCCCGCCGCTGACGTTTAATTTATAGGGTAGACTCGCAATGCACGTCTGTAAATACATATATAAATATATACACATAGATATATAGGTCTATTTATTTATGTTTTTATTTTTTAGCAATTTGTTTATCTCGGCTGATAACAAAATAAAAACCTAATATGACTGCATTTTGAGTGGAAAAGTGTTTGCACTTTTTTGTTTGCCATTAAATAATTTAGAAATATTTACCCGACCCGGCGATAGCTGCAATAACTGTTGCATTTGTTGATAAAATGTTGAGCTTGTTAACTGCAGAATGCGGGCTGCATAACTTGGCTTTGAGATAAAATACAACTTACAGTAAATGACAACAAATTATTACATATATTTAAAAAGGCATAATAAAACTTCCAGTTATAGGTCAGCTAATTAAAAGGTGTCACATAAGCTATATAAAAGACAATGCTAGAAGCTAAACTGAGATGACGAGCAAAGGAAAGATATATTCAAAAAAAACCCCTTGGTATAATGTAAACAAAATAGTTCGCTTTAAAAAAACGTTAGCCAAACAGCTGCAAACAAAACAAAGAAATTCTAAAAAAAAAAATATATTGCTGGAAAGTTTCGTAACAGCCGCAAGTTCAGTTGGGTTGATGGATCGGGCAGGCGATGGGACTGGAAACATAAAAACATATCTTCAGGCGGTAATAACTATGTCGGCGCTTGGAGAGTGCGTGGCGTAAACAAATTGGATGGATTTATAGCTTATTGAGTGTTTACAGTAAACACACGCTGGGGTGATTAACCGCTTCTGGGGAGAGTTAGCCAATAGTCAGCATTGTCAACATTTCAATAACTGGGTTAACCAAGGTCAAGTCTTTCTCGGCAATGGCATATGTCAAGTTGCCGCCAAAACACAAAGTTTCTTAATTGTTTTCAATAAGTCGGTTGGCATGACAAACGGTAATTGCGCGAAAATATATAACTACCGACTCTCGATAACAATTGCGAGCGGCATGACATTGTAAATTAAACAGACATCCATCACAGGCACATGCATATATATATATATATATATAGATCTGTAGCAGAATACAGGTGTACATCCAATGTGAGGCGTACAGTGCCAGATAAGCTCTAGACTTCCAGTTCTGTTTAGAATTTTTGAGTAGCTAATGATTAACCCACATCCCTATAAATATTTTCACTTTCTTAGCTTTCTGCACAGCTCGCACTGTTAATAATAAACCCATATTTCATTTTATTATAATGCTAAACACCCTGTAATGTTGCTGTATCGGATTAGATTATTTAATAGGGTATAATTTGGGTGTCTGAAATGTGTGCAATTTACGATCTATAACTATTTGGAGTTTGCATGCATATATATTTATGGGTACTGAGTAGCTGTGCCCAAAACGGGCAATTTAAGGGATAAATTTTGAAAATAAAGATTATTTTTACTATTATTTGTGAGAGCATAGAATGCAGTTACAACTATCAATCAAATATTTTAGAATATATATTATTAGTTCAGACTACTATATATTGATCTTCCATGGGTTATGAAACTCTCACCTTGTTAACTAGTCAGTGAATCGAACCTGCATCTTGATCAGTTCGAACCCAGTTTTCTAGTTAACTGTGAACAACCTATTAAAGGATATCTCATAGTTGAGCACACTCGATTTTGTTCCGTTTATATTATTTTTGCGAGAGTTGCATTTAATGTGCTACGTCGGCTTTCAATTTAGAACTATATTGAGGTGTGTAAAATGTGTGAATGAAATTTAGCAGGTGTCACTCGTTCAGTGATTGGCAAAAATTTCAAAATCCCAGACAAGCATAAATTTTTTGTTTTGGCCAAAAGCTAACACGAATAGCTGAAAACTGCTATAAAAACAATTCCCAATGTCGGTGCCGACAAACCCAAACAAATGGGCAAAGAAATCCAAAAGTATTTCAGAAGTGTTTCCAGAATTCATAAATTATTATGTGATTCCAAATTGGCGGAAATTTTGACTAGCAACTGATGGATACACCTGCAAATCGTGTACTCTTAGCACTGATGGCCCCATATGCCAAAGATCAAAGCTGGAGCAGCTATCAGTTGATTTGATTCGATTTGATGTGAATTGAATTGGTTATTAATTGAACTTCGTTATATTTATTTGTTTTCCCAGGGCAAGTGTCTGTGTGGGCAGTACATCAGAGCGCGACTACGACGTGCTGGGGTACTCAATCGGAAGGTGATACAAAGGCTACGCAACATATTGGAACCATCGTCACATGTGGTCTATGAGGTGTTTCCAGCGCTCAATAGCGTGAGTATCTAAATCGAACTAATGTTTATCCCGTATCTAATTAACAAGTCTTTCCATTTTTAAGATGGGCGAGGAACTGGAACGCATGCATCCGCGCGTCTACACGAACGTCTCTAGGCAGCTGTCACGTGCGCCTTTTGGTGAACTGGAGGATAGCGATATGGCGCCCATGCTGCTCAATCTGGTGGCCAAGGATCTCTTTCGGTCGAGCATCACCTGGGGCAAAATTATCTCGATATTTTCCGTCTGCGGCGGTTTTGCCATTGACTGTGTCCGCCAGGGCCACTATGACTACTTGCAGACCCTGGTTGACGGACTTGCTGAGATTATTGAGGACGATCTGGTCTACTGGCTAATCGACAATGGCGGCTGGCTGGGATTACAGAAGCATATAAGGCCGCACGTCGGTGAATTCACATTTCTGGGCTGGCTGACGCTGTTTGTGACCATTTCGGCTGGCGCCTATGTCGTTTCAAATGTTTGTAAGCGTATTGGCTGTCAATTGTATTCATTGTTATTTTAGTTTCGGGTCGTTTTTAGATATAATTGTACCCTGTAGTCAGTGAGATAAACTTGCAATCATTCCTGCTTAAAGTCGTTTAATAGCTTGTAAAGAGATCTGTTTAATGTTTGATATGATATCGATATTGATACTTGTTATATTGTTTTTGTACATATGCCTAACTTAGTGCCAATCACATAGAGCAAATAAATTACACAAACAAAACTAACTCATTTAATCAGTTTGAATTTAACCGGGTTTTTCAGTTAACAGCTCGTTTTCGGTGCTCATCTATGTAAGGCTAACAGCTTTCTGTTAAGCATCTATCGATATACGCCACAGCCAAGTATCGAAAGTAAAATATTTTCGAATATCGTTTTGCTTCTGAATATTAATTTATCGATATTGGGATATAATTTGCGACAGAAATAAAAGTGGGACTATACATATGTAGGTACCGAGTGTATAGCATATTTTTGTAGCGTTTAAACTGAAATAATGCCATGTCAGGTGCGTATCAAGCTGGAAAATAGTCGCTTGCCTTCGCTCACATTTGTAACTTTCAGGGCACGTTGGAAAAAAACCCGAGACAACAACTCCGCACTCGCACGTGGAGACAGAAAAACAAAGCAATGTTGACCATTTCATAATTGATACGTGTGCGGATGAACTCTACTACTGTGAAGATTGTGGCAACGACTTTGACAGCATCGAGTCGTATAACCAGGCGCACAGTGGGCCCGACAGCTGTTCAGGCACTGTTGAGGCCAGATCCAAGGTGACGGTGCATGCCGTGGAGATTAAAGACGAAATACAGTTCGATGACGACACAATAGACATTGATTCCATTGTGGTTGAGGATGATTTGATTGAGGAACTGGACGAGGCAAGCGAGCCCCAGCTCTGGGATGTGCTGGAAGATGATGAACCGATGCCAGCGACCGAAGCTGAAGTAGACGAAGTCGAGGAAGTGTCGAATAAATCGGAACGCTACTTCTGCTTCGATTGCCATAGCATATTCGAGACACGTCAGAGCGCCGAGGACCACAGCTGTCCACAAGCCGACGCAAATGGTGAAGCACGCAGCAAACACAACACCAAGCTGGCCAAAACGCAAACGCCAATGCGACGCAAAGTCACAGCTGCCGCAGCGGGAAGCAGCAATAGCACCAGCACCGTTTGCCACATTTGCCAAACGAAATTCAGTTCTCCCAAATGCCTCAAGTTCCACATGCGCATCCACAACAAACGTGCCTCCAAATCCATACAGGATGCGCTGCCCGTCGGCGCGCATCAGCAGTACAGCGAGCTGGATCAGTTCTATTGCGAAATATGCAACAAGAGGTCGGTATTACGCATATCTAGTAATATTGTAATTCATAGAACGACCACACCATAAGACTTTAATCCGTGGATTACTTGTCTGTAGGGATGCAAACGTTTTAATTCTTACACCCTTGAAAAGGGATTTATGAGTTTGTCAGGAACTGCAACTAGCACTTATCCCATAAAGACCAGCAGAGGTTTTAGATGTACCTTACCCCCTATCAACGACAAATATCATGTGCGTCCAATACTGACAGGATACACGTCACGTTAAATAAACCTTCACATATATGTTTTCTATGCAAACTCTTCCTTATATTACTCGGATCAGACCAGTAAATCCCATATCAGCATTAATGGAATTGTTAGTTGGCTGCAGAGTTTTTTTATGAACAACTTTTTGCTTTGCATTATTTTAAAATCAAACTCAGCCATAACGAGTTTCTATTATATTTCACATTGGCACGCCTGCTAGGATTCATGAATCATTCATCATTTTCTCCTAGGTTCCTTGTAGATATGTTTGGTATACTTTGTAAAGTCCTCGCATTGCAAGGGTTTCTACCTGGACCAGTTTTGGTGACTTCAATCGTGAATAATAAATAATCGACATTTACCATTTCATTGCAGCTTCGAGCAGAATCTGTTGACTGTGCACAAGCAGATGCATCAGAGCCAGAAGCAGTTCTTGTGCGGCACATGTAATCGAAAGTTCGATAATGTGACCAACTATGAGATGCATCTGAAAATTCATGAACGCCATGCGCTGAACAACAACAGCAACGCCAATAAAAAGCCCGCCAATCTAAACAAGGATAAACCAGGATTCGCCTGTCAATACTGCGAGCGCGTCTTCTCGCGGCCCTATGAAAAGGTGAAGCACGAGCGCGTCCACACTGGCGAGAAGCCCTACAGCTGCGAGGTGTGCGGCAAAACGTTTCGCGTTTCCTACTCGCTGACGCTCCACCTGCGCACGCACACAAACATACGGCCGTATGTGTGCACCACCTGCAATAAGCGGTATGTAATGTGGTTCTAGAGTCTTCCATATGCTTAACCTCTTTGTAAATTTGCGTTGCGCAGCTTCAAGTCGCACCAGGTATACTCGCATCATTTGCGCATTCACAGCTCGGAGCGTCTGTATGTTTGTGATAGCTGCCCGAAGTCCTTTCGCACCTCCGTACAGCTCTACGCGCATAAGAATACGCACACGAAGCCTTATCAGTGCGCCGTCTGCAATCGTCCCTTTGCCTCGTTGTATGCCGTCAAGGCGCACATGTCGACCCACCGAACTGGCGACGCGAAAAGCATCAGCAGTGCGGCCATCAAAAGCCAGCAGATATCCAACAAATATTGGTGCGTTACTTGCGGTGCGGAGTATGCGCGACCCTTTGCTCTGCGTCTGCACATGAAGGCAGCCCATGGCCATCCAGACGATGCGGACACACGACTGGCCAGAGTAGCCGCCACAGACGAGGATGAGATTATTGTTCCAGACACCGAAACGGCGGTACTCATAGCGGCGGCCAAGGCAGATTCAGCCTATCTAAATGCAGCCGCCAATGATGTAGACGTTATGGGTGCGGTGCCGAAATATGAGGAGTGCATTGAAGTATCCACAGATGCGGTAGGTATTTAAATATATTGACCTGTTAGACATTGAAGAACAAGGCACAGGCCAAGCGTCACAGCTCGACATCGCTGTAGGAAAATTTTTAAAACTATGAATATTTGAACAGGGTTATAAGGAATCCCACTTTAACCCCTGGTCGCCCTCCAGGCGACTTTTGATCTATAGCTATAGATGCTTATTTGAGTAGAAGGGATAAAAGGATATTTACACTTACAACCGAACTAACATTTTTAATTTGAACAGAGCTTTAATGAAATTGTAACAATTCTCTTGCAGTTCGATGTGGAGACCTTTCACAACGAGGAGATCATCACCGACTGGCTAAAGTAAAATTCCATTTGGACAACACGCGAATTAGGAAACAAACTTTTATTGGAACATAACTGTCACATTAACTAGTAAATATTTATTGCTGGCGTACATTGAGACCAGTCCATTGGGTTGGATGTTGCATAGAGTGTAATGTATAAGTTAAGAGAATTGAAATCATTTAACTACAACTACTTGCAAAATATAATCTAAATAATGACTTAAAAACATAAAAAATGTGTTTATTGGTTATTAGCATTTGTAACTATTCGGCCTGAGCCTCCTGCTCGTCGCTGTCATCCTCGTCGCATATTTCTTTGAGCACTTCAACCAGATTCTTAGCTTCGTCGAGTTCTTTGCGCATTGTGTCCATTTCCTCCTCCAGACCTTCGATGCGTTCATGCAAATGCCGATTCTCGTTGAGCGTCTCCTCCAGCGCAACGCGTCGCTGCTCCGAGAGCAGTTTGTAGTAGTTCTCGCCGGGCTCGCACTCACTGGTCAGATCATCGGCTGTGATGGGCTTGTCGGCATCGTTGGCGGCAACAATTGATTCTGTTTGTGTATCGGCGTCCTGTGTTGTTATTTGTGTTGTTGTGGCGGCTGCATCGACGCATTTGCGTTTGCCATATTTGGGCGTTATATTGACGCCGGCCTTTAAGCGACTAAGCTGATCCACGATGGAGACGCGTCCGAGTCCCGTAAGATTCTCCTTGTCGTTGGCGTTCGTGTTCGCCTGCAGTGGCTTTAGCGTTTTGCGTTGTTGCTTCAGATGCTCCTGTTGCTCGGCCTCGCTCTCGACTTGAATGTAAACTCGTGCAGCGCCCGTGGACATTTTCAAGTCTTTTCGTTGTACGTTTATTTCGCTTAATGCGCTATATTTATTAACACATTAAATTATGCGCTTTGGCTTGTGATTTTCGGTTCTCAGTTGTGATGGCCGCCAAAAAGATGCCGCGTGCAGATGCTCAACACTGTTTGGCATGCATTTTACAGCACTGTAAGGGCTGTCACATTTGCTGCCTATTAGAGTATTTAAATGCCAATAATGCTAGCTGGTTACACTGTTGGTTATTTTCGCAAGGGTGGCAACGCCGTGCGTTAACAGCTGATAGCGGACGCGCATGCAAACGTTTTGCGGCTTTTGTTGCCCTTTTCTTTGCAAATAATTGCAAAATGGCTGAAAAAACAACACAAGCGCTGCAAATCGAGCTGAATTTTGTAAGTATATAGTGGCTGTTGTTTACTTCAGTTTTTCGCTAACTGCACATCTTTAGGATGAAGAGGATGTTCCGTATGAGGAGGAGATTCTACGCAATGCCTATTCCGTCAAGCACTGGCTGCGCTACATCGATCACAAGGCGAAGGCGCCCAATAATGGCGTTAACTTGGTGTACGAGCGCGCATTGAAAGAGCTGCCCGGCAGCTACAAGATCTGGTATAACTATTTGCGTACGCGCAGGAAGCAGGTGCGGGGCAAAATACCCACAGATCCCATGTACGAGCAAGTGAACAACACATTCGAACGGGCGCTGGTCTTCATGCACAAGATGCCACGCATCTGGATGGACTATGGGGTATTCATGAGCTCACAGTGCCGCATAACGCGTACGCGTCACGTTTTTGATCGTGCTCTGCGCGCGTTGCCCATAACGCAGCACGGACGGATCTGGCCACTGTACTTGAAGTTTGTGCAGCGCTACGAGATGCCCGAAACGGCGCTGCGTGTTTACAGGCGATATCTGAAGCTGTTTCCCGAGGATGCCGAGGAGTATGTGGCCTACTTGCAGGTAAGATTGTTTTATTTAGAAAAACAATGCTTTCTGTAACATGGATTTATCGCCGTAGGAGGCAGAGCGTCTGGATGAGGCTGCACAGCAACTGGCGCACATTGTGGACAATGAGCACTTTGTCTCAAAGCACGGCAAGTCGAATCATCAGCTGTGGAACGAGCTCTGCGACATGATATCAAAGCATCCGCACAAAGTGCATTCACTGAATGTGGATGCGATCATTCGTGGTGGCCTGCGTCGTTACACGGATCAGTTGGGCCACCTGTGGAACTCCCTGGCCGATTACTATGTCCGCTCCGGTTTGTTTGATCGTGCTCGTGACATCTATGAGGAGGCCATACAAACGGTGACCACGGTGCGGGACTTTACCCAAGTCTTCGATGAGTATGCGCAGTTTGAGGAGTTGTCATTGAACAAGCGCATGGAACAGGTGGCGAATGATGAGTACGCAAACGAGGAGGATGACATTGATGTAGAGCTGCGTCTCTCACGCTTCGAGTATCTGATGGAGCGCCGCCTGCTGCTGCTCAATAGCGTGCTGCTACGCCAGAATCCGCACAATGTGCATGAGTGGCACAAGCGGGTGAAACTGTATGAGGATAAGCCGGAGGATATCATCAACACATATACGGAAGCAGTGCAGACGGTGCAGCCAAAGCAGGCAGTGGGTCAGCTGCACACGTTATGGGTGGAGTTTGCCAAGTTCTACGAGGCCAACGGGCAGGTGGAGGATGCCCGTGTGGTCTTTGAGCGTGGCACGCAAGTGGAATACGTCAAGGTGGAACACTTGGCGGCCGTGTGGTGCGAGTGGGCCGAAATGGAGCTGCGTCAGCAGCAATTCGAAGCAGCGCTCAAGTTGATGCAGCTCGCCACAGCCATGCCTAAGCGAAAGGTTGCCTATCATGATGAGACGGAAACGGTGCAAATGCGCCTTTATAAATCTCTAAAAGTGTGGTCTATGTACGCTGACCTGGAAGAATCCTTTGGCACTTTCAAGACTTGTAAGGCGGTCTACGAGCGCATCATTGACCTTAAGATTTGCACGCCGCAAATAATCATCAATTACGGTCTCTTCCTGGAAGAGCACAATTACTATGAGGAGGCCTATCGCGCATACGAAAAGGGCATTGCGCTGTTTAAATGGCCGAATGTCTATGACATTTGGAATTCCTATCTAACCAAGTTTCTGGAACGTTATGGCGGCACCAAACTGGAGCGTGCACGTGATCTTTTCGAGCAGTGCCTGGACCAGTGTCCGCCAGAGCATGCCAAGTATTTCTATTTGCTCTATGCTAAGCTCGAGGAGGAGCATGGACTGGCGCGACATGCCATGGCCGTTTACGATCGCGCCACCAGCGCTGTTAAAGAGGAGGAGATGTTTGACATGTACAACATATTCATCAAAAAAGCAGCCGAAATTTATGGACTACCGCGCACACGTGAGATTTATGAAAAGGCCATCGAGGCGCTGCCAGAGCAGAACATGCGGCACATGTGCGTCAAGTTTGCGGAGCTGGAGACCAAACTTGGCGAGGTGGATCGTGCCAGGGCCATCTATGCGCATTGCTCACAGGCAAGTTGCTTCTGGACAATCAATTTGTAAATTAAAATTATAATTATTATATTTTATTTATTGTTTTAAGGTTTGCGATCCGCGTATTACCGCCGACTTTTGGCAAACATGGAAGGAGTTTGAGGTGCGTCATGGCAACGAGGACACCATGCGTGAAATGCTACGCATCAAGCGCTCTGTGCAGGCCACCTACAATACTCAGGTCAACATGATGGCTGCCCAGTTTCTCAATACGACCAATGGCGCTGCCGCCGATGCGGGTGCCGGCCCAGGCACTAGCTCCGATGCCATGCGCTTGCTGGAGGAGAAGGCGCGACAGGCAGCATCGGAGGCCAAACAGAAGCCAGTCGAGAAGGCTGCGTCCAATATTATGTTTGTGCGCGGCGAGACGCAAGGCGGTGCCAAGGGCAAGGACAATACTGTCATCAATCCCGATGAGATTGACATTGGCGACAGCGACGAGGACGAAGATGATGAGGCAGAAGACGCTGGCACTGAACACGCCCCAGAAGGCGTCACGGCCACGGCGACCAAAACCGATGATGAGGGTCTCATCATGAAGAAGCTGCGTTTCGAACAAAAAGCCATTCCTGCCAAGGTCTTCGGCAGCCTTAAGCCCAACAATCAACAAGACTCCGATGAGGAATAAAAGGAAAAATAATTATAAAAGCCGTAAAAATGTTGTAAGAGAAATGTTTTCCTCATTTGATACGAAAATGTAATAGTTTCTCAAGCACTAAGTTAAACGAACTTCAAACAAATAAATAAACAATTGCTTGAAATCGAAACGGACTTTTACTGACTCTGCTACTAGAGTCTTAAACAATAGTAAGACGCAGTAATATATATATCATTATATATATTACTATAATCTTTTTATATCAGCGTAAATCTTTTCACATCGGGCGACTATATTTCATACCATTCCAGCGGAATTATGTTCCTTGAAATATTGCAAATAAATCGGTTGTAATAATTTAAAAGGATCGATCCACTATTCCAGTTTTCTTTCTGAATGCTCAACAAGTTCACATTATTATATTATTTATATATTTATTATATATTTGTAATGCTGGTTTTGGCGACCTTCAGTCAAAACAATATTTATTTAATATTTATTTATATAATCTTAATCAAACAGGAATGCCAGACCTGTTCCTGTGTTCTTTGTATAAACTTTTGATTTTAAAAACTGAGGAGGCCAAGTGTTGCATGTCGGCTGGTATAGCACTCAGTAGGACTCAGTACACTAGGAATATTCACAATCAAATCACATAAATTTTCGGAAGAGCTTAGAAAAACAATACATTACTAAAATAGTTCTTAGAATACTGAAACACACGAAGAGTTACCACGATGATGCTAGCAACACGTACGGGCAATGCATTCTACAAGAATGTGCAGCTGTACAAGCGGATGCATGTATCGAAATCTTGGATGCAAGTCAATACGAATGAGGGCATCCTGAGAAGACCCTGGCATATCCGTAGCTTGACTGCGATTCAGCAGTGGCGGCGCTATGCCACAAAATGCGATGAGTCAGCCGTTGTAAAGGGCGTTGTGGTGGGCGTATACACCAAGGAGGGCGACAGGGAGCCCAAGCTGACGTCCAGTGGTGAGAAGTTTGATGATCGAGCACAGGGCAAAATCTCGGAGTTGGTGCGCGAGACAAACATGAAGGGTGATCTGGGCAAGGGATTAGTTTTTATGAATGTGGATCCGGAATTCAGTGCCGTTGCCGTGGTGGGCCTGGGACAGGAGGGCGCTGGCTTCAATGACCTGGAAATGATTGATGAGGGCATGGAGAACGCACGCGTTGCTGCCGGCGTTGGGGCTCGTGCCCTGCAATTGCAGGGCGTCACGGATGTCTTCGTGGATTCCATGGAATATCCGGAGCAAGCGGCCGAGGGCAGCGCTTTGGCCATTTGGCGATACAATAGCAATCGCCGTAAACAGGATCGCACACACATACCCAAACTGGAGCTGTATGATTCACCCGATGTGGATGCATGGACGCGTGGACTCTTCAAAGCCGAATCACAAAATTTGGCAAGACGCTTGAGTGATGCGCCGGCCAATCAGATGACGCCCACCATATTCGCACAGTCTACTGTGGATGCACTGTGTCCGTGCGGTGTGAGCGTCGACATACGCTCCATGGACTGGATCGAGGAGAATCGTCTCAACTCGTTTCTAATGGTCGCCAAGGGCAGCTGTGAGCCGCCTGTTGTACTGGAGATCAACTACTGCGGCACCGCGCCCGAGGACAAGCCTATCCTGCTGCTTGGCAAGGGCCTCACCTACAACAGCGGGGGCCTCTGCCTGCGTCCCAAGGACTGTATGCAAATGTATCGCGGCTGCATGGCCGGCGCTGCTGTCTGTGTGGCCACCATACGAGCCGCGGCAGCTCTGTCGCTGCCATTGAACATTAGTGCGGTGCTGCCGCTCTGCGAGAATATGCCGTCCGGGATGGCCGTAAAGCCGGGGGATGTGGTCACCCTGCTGAACGGCAAGACACTGGGCATTAAGGATGTCAGCAAGGCCGGCGTGGTGGTGATGGCGGATCCCCTCATCTATGCCCAAGCCAATTTCAAGCCTCGCCTCGTCGTGGACATTGCCACCTTGGGCTATGGCGTCTGCTGTGGTCTTGGCGGCAGCGCTGCGGGCATCTTCAGCAATTCGAACTTTGTGTTCAAGCAGTTTGAAAAGGCTGGCGGCTTGACTGGCGATCGTTTGTGGCGCTTGCCGCTTTGGAATTACTTTAAACGACTGATCTCACCCAATATCACCTACGACATTAGCAATCGAGGCCGTGGACCCGCCTCCAGCTGCATAGCTGCTGCCGTGCTGCACGAGCTGGTGCCTTGCGTGGACTGGGCCCACATTGATATCCGCAACGTGGGCATGTTGACTCGTTACGCTCCGTTGCCGTACTTGCTCCGCGATCGCATGACTGGTCGTCCCACACGCACTATCATCCAGTTCCTTTACCAGATGGCCTGTCCAGACAACAAGTAGACACTTGCATCTACAATAAGTTAGAAATTTTTACTTTATTATTTTTATCAACTTGATTAGTTAGTCACGTTTCTATTTCAACATTTTCAAAATTATTCGTTATTTTTTGAGTTGTTGAAATGGTGGGGGGAAGAACACCCAAGAACACCCAACGTATATTAAGCAAAATTTTACTGTAAACCACAATACTAGTTAAACCACATACTAGTTAGTAGTATGACAGCAATGTATGAAGATTAAAAAAGATATATGTGCATGTATATATGGACTTTAACAATCGGGTGATTTCAGCTTGGGAAATTTTAATCGTTTAAGAAACACTATTTATTTGAGAATATATTTTTCAAAATGGTGGTAAAGGAAGAAGTTGGCGTTTTGCTTTTAAGCAAACTGTGCAGCTGAGTACAGGGTATTTTCTAGTCACAATCACTTTATTAGAGAAGTGCTCTTTACTAATGCACAGTGCATAGGGAAGGCATAGTATTAAATCCTTAGTATGTGCTTGGCTGAGGTTTCCTCTCGGCTGTCTCCTGGTTACAGGGTACACGATATTCGTTCATGTTTACGCATTGCACTCAGCTTTTGACATCTATTGGGCATACCCCTACCTTTTACTACTATGCCCAAGGTCCATTATTTAGTGTATTCATCAGTGGGGTCAGCTTCACATCCGACTCGTTGCATATTTGAGCTGTCATTTAATTAATTTAATTGAGCGAAATGCGCCCAAAAGTGTTTTTAAATTGCGAGGTGGCCGCAGTGTCTGCTTCTGTAACTCGCTGTTGCTTTTTGTAGCCTACTTCTGGGCGGCTTATTAGGCTAATTGCGTAAAGTTGGCTTTAATGAGTCGAAAAACGGTGCCAAGCCTGGCCACAAAAAGACACAAAGCGTGCGGCAACGTTGTTGTTGTTATTTTTGTTGTTGTTGCTGTTGTTGCTGCTGCCAGCTCTGTTGTTGTGCTGTGGGCTTTGAATTTATGACACGGCTTTAATGGGCTAACTGGGTTAATGCTCATCCCTCATCATGAACCATGATAACCCCGCACCCTGGCAACCTGCCTCCAGCTCTCTCCTCAAGCGACTTTGTGGTATTTGGATAGTTTACCCAGCACCAGCAACATAAATTTTGACAATTAAGCAAACATTTTGCGCTCAGCCCCGCCAAGTTGGCAACTGGGATAGGTTCTTCAGTGGAGCACACAGCGTAAATTCACAGCCAGCATTACGCAGCTGCTAAGCCAAGCTGCTCGCCAAGTATCTCTCAACACCGCGACATTTTGCACAAGTCATTAGGCCAACGAAATGATAATTTTGAAGCATTTTTGCATTTTCCAATTTGCAAATACACTAAAATACTACAATTGCTGAAAGTGTTTACAATAACTGATACAGTTTGTCTGGGCATTGATGGGAGCAATAATTATTTCTAATTATTGAAGCTAACTCTAAAAGACTCTTAGGAAATGTAAGACTCTTTGGGACCTAAATATATTTTGCCCTTCAAATAGGGCAATCTTTATTAATTTAAATTTTAAGCCCCAAAAATGTTTTGAGATGGAGATAAATGTAATCTTTCAATACATTTTTGGAGCTCACAGAAAGTTGTTTGTGAAAAAACTGACCTAATTATTCTGTATATTTAGAGTAGTGCTGACTTATCTATACACTTATATTAAAGAAACCTTGAAAAGAAATAAATATTATGCTACAAAATTGAAATTTTAGACTCCTATATAAATAAGCTAGCTAAAAATTATAAATATACAACACCCAAGTTTAATTTACTCTTACTAAATATATGAAACATTTATTTTTAGATTTTCTTTCTATATAAAAATAAATTCAAATCTAACAAACATAATTTTCTATACTTTAAACGTCCTTTCATTTTTATTTATTTATTCAAATAAATCGAAATGAAAAAAACATAAAATTCTATAGTTCAAACCTGATTTAACCTGTCCCTTACAAAACACTTCCTTATCAGGGCTGTAGGAAATAAAATGCACAAAGTTTCACACACACCGGCTTTGAACTGTGTCCAATATAGAGTATTTATTAGCTGGTCTCGTCGAATTTGAGCACTGTCTGTTCCCTGTGCGCACTCAACGCGGCGCTGCAAATGCTTTCGAGTTATCAGTTAGGGTCGTATGAGGGGTTGCCATGAGGGCTAAGCGCTCCCGCTGGAGTGCAGCCAAATGAATTTGCTAATGAGCAATCAGGCTTCAAGAATATGAGATTCGTTTTTGCTTTTTAGCAAATTTGAAGTTGTGGGTGTTGTGCACTTTAAAGAACCCATTCGAATGCCAAAATGTAGCTAGCCAGAAGCTAAGACTGAGGTCTGAAGGCGTCAGCAAAAGTTAAACGGTCGTTCGGCCGCATGCCACGCCCATCATGCGGCTACGGCCAAAAGGCCCGCGGCGTTAATCATTTACAGCAGCAACAAAGCAAAAATCAGACCGAATTATGATTATATTTTAGGGCGAAACGTGGAAATTAGCAATGCTCGACGCTCGCCGTTCGCTGTTCGCTGTTCGGTCAGTTGCCAAGGCAGCGGCCATTTCCATTTCCACACCCATTTCCATTTCTATTTTCATCTTAATCATCATTCGCATGCCCAACCAACCTCCTTGGTTTGGCTGCTGCCCAAAAAAATCCTTTTTGGCGGGTCTGGGACCGGTTCTAGAAAGAATTGCAATTGTGATAAAATTCAGCGTAACTAATGCCGACCGCAGCAAAATGCGATAAATCGCCGGCTGGGTTTGTAATATACTCTTTATCTGGGGCTTAATCATTTTATCATAAAAGTAGTAAAATAGCAAGAGTCAGTGCGAGATTAAATTAAATATGCATTGATATATGAATTGTTGAGAATATTAAAGCCTATTTTTGAGATATTTGGTTAGTAGAGATTTTTATCAAAGTAAAAAGCAAGTTTTTAAAAATAATATTCTAAATTGTTACTTATTAATATTATACTAAATAGATTACCGCTAAATTTAAAGGGCAATGAGGAATCGAAGTTCGAAGAAGTTTTGAAGAGATTATAAGTATATATTTCTAGTAAATGCGTAAAAAATTAATAATATTATTAATACATTATTTAATATTTGATAATAAAATAATATTTAAAGTTAATTTCCAGATATAACAAAGTTATTTCTAAGCTGCTAAATGGCATTCCTTAAAGCAAATACCTGCATTATGTTTGTTTTAAAATAAGTCTACTAGACTGTGAATATGTACTAAATCAATAAAATGATTGCATTTTATATCAAAATTTACTAAATCAATAAAATTCTTGCATTTTATAGAATAATGTTTTATCATGCGCTTCAGCTAAATTGCTTCAAACTTTGGAAAGTAAATTAAATTTGTTGCCGACTGGATTAATTGATTAAGTAGAGAGCATAATATATTCGTCTTATCAATTATATAAATACTGTCCTTTCATGTTTATTTTTTTCTTTTGTTGGAACTGTTTGGGGTGTCGCCTTCTGTGGTCGTCATGGACGGTTTGCCCGCGGCTAAAGTTTGGTGACTTTTCTTTTTTTTTTGTTAGCCCCACCCGAGTGTCGCTTTCTATGTACATTTTTATAGCATTGGCTCTTGTTTTGCGGCTGTATAGTATGAGAGAAATTCAGTTGCTGGAAATGATAATTTTCACTTGAGCGCGCACGTGAAAATGGGCGCTACCAACGGATTTGGTGGTGCGGCTGTTGCTGCTGCTGATGCTGGGGTGGAGTGCTCGATGTGGTTTGGCTCCGCTATAAATTGCCAATTAATGGCAGAGTAGCGCTGCGGTGGGTTTCATTTGCATTTTGCTTCGCATTGCTTCTAAAACATGCAGATGTATACGTATATACATATTATGCGATTGTCGTTGCGATTGAATGCCGAATTTTCTATTTTTTCTTTTGCCCACGCGGCGTATGCTTAATTTTTGGCGCATTCTTTTAACCTGGTTTTTGTTTTGCCTGTCACACTTCACTGGTCAGCGAGTCGCCATTTTGTTTTGGATTGTCCGGGCGCTGCATTCAAATGCAGCCAAGGCGTGCCCCCCCACTCCATCCCTCGCTGGCCTTATCCGGTCAAGCGTCGTGCTAAATTTGTTGCGGTTTTTGTGGGTTTCCTCGTTGTGCTTGCCATTGGTTTTTATCCAAAATAAAATACAAAATGCGGCGGTGCAAATTTAGTTCATTTGAAAATTGGAGCAAAAACAGCCAATGAATAATTGAGCATGTGGTGAACATATATGAATGCACTCATTGAATGTGCCAAGCAACGTGCATGCATTCATGACTCATGTTTGCTCTTTGAATAATTCAAGCACACATCGATTGCTATTTATTAGTTAGCTATTACTTCAAATATTTTCAAATAAAAAAAAGTTGTTTATTTTCGTTATATAAATGGATTCTAAGCTACATTTTATGCTGGCCAGGCTCGATGTCAATGTTTGTTATGATAAACAACAACTACCATAAACACCATAAGTGAGCAGGTCGTCTAACCAGTGCATGAAGGTCGGCAGCAAAGTCTGCTGATGATATATAGTCGAAAGGCTACCGTTTTCATTTTCTACATTATCCATTTCTTACATATATGTATATAAATATATAATAATAAGTTTTAAGTTATTCTACCTCATCTTATTTAATTTCAATTATTGTATTAAGGATAATGTCTTTTGGGCTGGGCCTGTTTATACTCTATGCCCATTGAAAATGGGCAAACTGACATATGGCTTCTTAAATATATATATATACAGTTCAAGTAACGTTTATTTAATAACTACCGCCGCCCCTGACCCGCCTAGAGAGAGCTGCATTTGGTGTTGGTATAAGAATATTAAGGGCTGCTAGTTTTTTGTGAAATAATAATGAATTTTCCATAATTTTACATAGACCAACTACATCATATAAGCTTAATTACAATTATTGGATTTAGGGAAATGTCTGCCTGGTTCAGTCTTTTTTGAGTTCTATTTTAATTTAACTGCCAATATATGTCGTCTCTTGCTTGTAAGTGAATGCATTCACCTACGCTAATCTCAACTAAGCCGCTGGTTAATGGCAGGTTTCATCGCTGCATTTGGAGATAATGCTAATCACATTTATTTATCACCAGCGATTATTATTGTTTTCGTTATTGCTTGTTAAATATGTGAACGAACGTGCCTCAGACATATAAATTATGTGCACTGTATATACTGTAATATAACGCATACGACGCGTTGGCTGCCTGGCGATTCGGGCTATCAAAATGTACATAAAACTGTCTAGGCAAATGCTAAACAAATAGCTACAGCAACAGCAACAGCAACAGTTTAGTTATGCACTGTGCATAAACATGGCATAATATTAGGAGCCATAGCCCCAACAACAATAACAATAAAGCCAACAACAACAAATTATATTTATTTTTCACACCCCCAAAATGTCGGCTTGTGGCAGGGCGTTAAGATAAGCGCAGCGTCCAGTCGATTGGAGTATTCAGTCTATGCATATCGAATATATTGCAGAATTTATATGTACATTTGCATACATACATATATATAAATATATATGTAGATATATATATTGGCTCTGCATAAATAAAACTGCAAATTAAAGCAGTCGCAGCGTCGCTGTTCAATTGCACTTTTTTTTGGCAAATTCGCTTATTGTGCAAGTTTTGGGCCGTATGTGTTCCCAAAATTGATAGCTCTGCAAATTCGCGTATGAAAATGGGAATAAAACTTGCCAGAGAAATATTTATAACATTAACAAATATGCATAAAACCTATTTTAATGAATTGTGTACTTTGTTGCCAAAGCAAAAGAATTGCCTTCGTTTACTTACAAAAATAAATACTTGATTAAAACTTTATTTTAAAAATTAAGCATAGCTTGCATTTACTTTTCTTAGTTTTTGCAAGGTTTTAAGTTTTCTAAATTTTATTACAGCTAGTACTCCATCTTCGATATTACACTGTGGCTTCGACACGTAGAATGTTAATAAAAACACGTAAGAGTGCTCTAGTCGGGAGTGCCCGACTAGCGGATACCCTGAACATTCTGCTAGCAACACCAACTGCAGCTCTTGCTAGGTGGGGCTGCAGCGGCGGTAGTTATAAAATGAAAGATATTTGATCTGTATATACTGGTGACTGTAGACATAAGAAATTCGCTTAAAAACCATGATTACTATGTTGATTTTTATCGATTGCTTTGCAAATTATCATTATGGCTAGATCAGACATGGCTAGATCGATTCGATTGCTGATCAGGAATGTGTATACTTTATTGGATCGGAGATGCTTCCTTCTGCCTGTTACATGCATTTGCACAAAAACATTAAGCCTTTTTTACCCATTTCCGATGGGCCACAGAAAATGCGAATAGTAAAACAACAACAAAAGAATTTACATTTAGCAAGTGTGCATTTCATATAGCGTCATAATTTGCAAATGGTCATTTTAAGGTTTTCGCATTGCTTTCTGGTTTTAAGTTAAAATAAAAACATTAAAAGTAATTTATAAATTAAATAAATAAATGTGTAAATGCATGGCAGCGACTGCAGCAGCACTCACCCCCCACCCGCACCCCCAATTCTCACAGCAATTTCCATGCGACACCCAGTGCCATCCTTTAATAACAATTTGTGTCACAATTAAGCTGCATTGCGTGCCCCGGCAGTGGTGCGAGGAATTAAAATTAGTTTATTTGAATGCATTGTTCCAATGGATATTGGTCTCTGCCAATCTAGCCCCAACCAGCTGTCGCACCCAGCTTCCCCTCAACGGCAGCTTTAATTGTGCACAGTGCGCATTGCTCATACGCCGCATGGCTCCGCCAGCAATTGGAGTATTACTCGGTTTCTGTTTATCGCCTGCATTGTTTGCCATTTGGTCGTGGTCTCCAGTTCAGCAATCTGCTAGCCCGTGCCATCAGCCTGGCAGCCTATTATTATGCCGCTGCTGTCTGTGACAATATTTTATGGTTTGTTTGATTTACTGTTTATTTATTGTTATTATTGAGTTGAGATTTTTCTGTTGTCTGCACTGGCAACACGTTTCACGAATTGCGCAGAATAGCATTTAAGGTCGCCAGAAACATTGCACTTTTAATAGAGATTTCAAAAACTAAAAAATCTTTTATTTTTTAATCAAATTTTAATATAAATTATTTGCGCAGCAATGCAAAAGTTTTGTTTAATAAAGAAATATTGATATTTATGAAATAACATAAATAAACTGTTTATAAAGACTAAAATATTTTTAGACAATACATTTAAATAAATGCCGAGCGTGAAGTTATTGTCATCGTTGCATTTGATTAATAGCAAAGTAAATAAATTATGGCAGTTTATTTAGCCAACGCGTTACCAATGCAAGACCATAAAGAATAATATATGGCCTATAAAAAGAGCCCATAAATTGTGCAAACTTGTCAAAATCAAAAGCGCGGAAATGTCACATTAAATTGTGAATAGAGCTAGCTCGCACAACTGTAGGAAAAATACACAATGTAACTTGCACAGGCCCCAACCTGCTCAACCCTTGCCATTGACGTAAACTAAACAAATTGCCATTGCACTTCCGATCGCATTGAAGTGCCCCAACGAGATATCGACTACATTACTTATATTTATGTCTGTTTTTCTTATTTTTTTTTTTTAATGTTTATTTAACAATCATAATAACGCTGAGCAAGGCTATGGCCAAGCCCAAAACTTGTTGAGACTGCGTAGTCAAGCCGCCATTGCAGGGCATCAGGCCCAGTTTGGAGGTGCAAACGCAGGCTTCCACCTGCATGCCCGTCGAGTGCGTTTGTAGGTAGCAGCCATTGCTGCTATTCACCTTGGCACACATATATGTCACGTTTTGTACTATAAAATAAAAGATGGAAAATTCAGATGAATTAGTTTTTGAAATTTGAAGTAAGTTTTTTTTTATTTCTGTTTCCTAAGAATCAGAATCTTACTCAATTAATAAATCAAAAATGAAATAAAATAGATTGTCAAGTCGAGTCGATATTACGGGGAACTTAACATAAATATATTTGTTTCCCCTAAGAAATTCTCCAATATATATGTGGCTAATAAGGGAGATGGTGAAGAAAGGGGAAAAGGGAAAATTTATCAACTTGCAAACCTACAAGAAATATATATATAATAAATAAGAGTTATCTCTTATCTTTACTAAATGTGTATTTATATGAAAGAAGACAAACCATAAACAAAATTTCAACATTCATCAAAATCGGTTAAGTTTTGCCCAAGCTATGGAAGCTCAATCTTTATAAGGGGCATTTACCAGAGACTAGACACATTACATTAACCCTTTACACATTATTTTTTCTCAAAAGGTATGAAGTTTACACATATTATCTCTAGTTCAAGATGGTACTTACTGCCGCCCTTGAATATGTAGGAGTACTTGACGCAGGAAAGACCGGGCGACATGTGGCACAGATAATTTTCACGATTCAATGTCTCGTTCTTCCACAGTGCCTTCACATCCGGCACAGTGTCATTTGCTAGAGTGGAATATGTGTGTGTTTAGACAAAAAAGCTAATGCACATGGGAGCACAGAGCAAACAAACCGGTGACTACCAGAGGCATTTCACAGGGTATCTCGTTGAAATCACCGACTCTGGAATCGCAGCTTTCATTTTCAATATTCGTTTTGTTCTCGTAGGGTCCAATCCAGGTGAAATGAAAACATTGTGGCGCTGTGAATTGAGTATATATGAATCGTATTCACAAACTATTCACTTTCATATTCACCAACACTCGGCTTTGATGCACTTGAACAGCAGCATCAGCAACAGTAGCAGTAATTTAAACAATGGCAGTGGCATTCTCGATATGGTAGTCACTTCTTTTTTTTATGATGATTTTAACAGATTGTACTTTTCGATACGCATATAATTTTTTAGTTTTGAACAAGCGCTGCTGTTGCCCCTGCCAGAGACAAACTGATAATGCGGCATTCAATGCAATCGACAGACGATCGACGTTCTTATCATTTACCTTTGGGTACTATTCAGTTTTTATTGCAGCAAAATGTGGCGGTTTACTAAGTGAGAGGGCTTTTTAATTTTTTCGTTTTGTAAATTAAATTTTAATTTGTTTGTCGATATTATTATAGCTCTGCAATCGGTTTTAGGTTCCAGTTTCAGACGTTGTAATGTCGTCCGTCCTGTTTATAAGATAGGTTGAAAGTTTGTAACATAATTCGTTGGGTAAGGTATAATAAACATTGAAAATTACACACCAACAGATTAGATTACCTGTTTTGTGTTTAAGTTTCTGTTCTAGTTGATTTTAGAATCCCATCATTTTGCTTTTTTTATTCGAAGGGGATAGTTATTCTTTTTTGTAAATTTTAATCTAAAGATGTTCTGTTAATACGTTTATACCAAAAGTAATGTTAATAAGTTACTAGGAGGTAAGCTATACCCAGAGCGGGTTTGAGTAAGAGTCAAAGTCAAAGAGAAAAAAATTAATAAATTGAGAGGAAAAGACACATAGAGAGAGAGAGAGAGAGAAAGAGAGTGAGATATAGAGGTAAAGAAGAGGAGAGCTAGATAAAAAGAGGTGGAAATTGAGGCAAAGAATGCGATCGAGAGAGAGAGAGAGAGAAAGAGGGTGCGAGAGAGAGAGAAAGAGAGACTGAGTAAGATAGAGTTTGAGAAGATAATATGTATTAATTATTGCAATGCCTTAAACAAATATATGAAGACAGTAAGTCTTTCTTAAATTAATGAGAATCGCGAAGAAGGGCAATATTTAAATATGATTTTTTACAACTTTCCTTTCGACAACATTTTTTAGTATGGAGCTGCTCATGATATCTGCGATCGAAGCACGCCGAATAATTGAACGTTTTATTGTAATTGAAAGTGACGTTGCTTCAGTATCATTGTGTGTAGTTTGAGAGTCTCGATGATGGCAATCAATAAGCGATAAGCGATTTTATCAATGTCGACGACAATGTGAAAATAAAAGAAAGTGACATAAATATTAAATGAATTTTAAAATATTCTAACAGCGGCTCAGAGGCCCCAAGCTTGAGACAGACACCATTCAAACCAGACCAGCTGCCCTCTTATCCAAATGGCATTTAATTAAATTTGCACAAGCAAAGCTGGTTAGTGAGACGAAGGGGGGAAGGGGCGGGGGGAAGATATAAGAGATGACTGACAAACAATTAAATAACAGCAGTTGCTAAAAATTGTTAAACGAAATTCTGCAAATTGTATTTGTTGTTAATTGTCCGGTCGGAGTTGTCCTCTCGCCTTGCACGAAATGAGTTTGAAAACAAATAAAAATGTCAAACGAATGAATAAAAGTTGTCTAATTTAATTTGTTTAGCAGCAGCGGCATTTGGATAGCCAAAAACACACACACAATCAAACACACACACACACACACACACACACACAGACGCACATGTATTTACTGAGAAGACTCTCGCACACACACGTTCCCGAACAGTTGTGCAAATTGAATAAAGGCAAAATTTTGGCTCTTCACGTAAATTTCACGTAGTATTTTTAAATTTAATTTTTAATTGTTCAAAACAATTAAAATTTATTTGTAAATTGTTATGTGTCTGAGTGTGTATGTGTGTGTGTAAAACTTTTTCCACATCTGCTGGCCAGTTACGTGCTTCGAAACTTTGTAGGAATTGCGATGTTGCCAATGTTAGTTGCACTTAGCCAAAAGCCATTTTGCTTTAAGCCAAATTTAAAGCACACATCCATCAAGAAATCTGACAACGACTTCTTTTTTTCAATGGAGCAAACCTGAAAATCTCCTTAGACTTCGGTCACAAGTCGCGACACACATCACAGAATATCCCATCAAAGGCTGCTCAAAGCCGTTTCCATCATCATCTTTAAAGATTATTCGCCTGTCCCCCTTTTCTATGCCAATGATTGATTATTTTTATTGACACAAATGTCATTAGCTTGCGGGAAAAGTACAAAAAAGGAATTGCTACGGAAATTAGCGTTAGTCAGGCATTTCTAGGTAACACAATGGAACGTCATCTTTGCCAAATCCTAAGCAATCGAACCATGAGAAGGGCAACAACAAGCCAAAATATTCTTTTACATGATTGAATCCAGCATAATCCCTGGATGATAACAAACATAAGAATTTGTGCATGTTTACTTTATATCTGTATAATTTTGAAGATTTCGATTTTCTTATATTTCCTTTTAATTAAATGCTAAAGTCAAGAAGTTACTTGTTGATAGTTTTTTTATACCATGTTGATGTTATTTTACTTCCCCTTATAATTAGCAATTTTATTTATACTTAAAAAAATATGTATTGTGACGGCGAACACATATTGAACCGCTAGATATTCCTAAATATAAGATTAGCTCTGTATTGCCAACGAATTAAAAAACGTGCATGCTCTTCTTTTATTACATATTATTATAAGCCATTTATTGTACAATTTAATTCAAGACAAAAGATTTATTATTTTGTATTTGATAAATATTGATGCATTGATATTTATGCAAAATTTCGAACGGTTTGCATGAAAAGGTTAATACTCCAGGAATTATAAGAAATAACAGCAAAAGCTTCATGTTTAGAAATTATTTTTTTTATTATGTCAAGATATGAAGTCGACAAGTGCCTTATATGTATGTTAGGTTAAGCTTTGTGATAAATGCAATTTTGCGTGCTTAAATACGATTATTAATGCTGCTGATATGCTCGGATCTTGGATTATATATATTTCAAGTAGAGATGGGCGCGTGCTGGGCTCAAAAACGAGCACGAAGCCTAATTTTTAACCTGACGGGAAAATTTAGTTGTTATAAATATTTGGATTTTTTTTAGATTAAAAAGCAGCAGAATAGAAACCTTTATGGAAAAATATATTTCAAACTCAATATAAAACTCTCTTATTTCACCTTTATCAACTGGCTTCTGTCTGAACATGCGAAAAATTCGTACCTTCAGATATTTGGGCGAAGACCGAGCGGGAATCGAAAGTTTTAGCTTTTGACATTATTTACCTCACTGTAGCTTGTCTTTAGAGATTCTGCTTTCGTGTTGGTGAGGCTTAACGGACCCGCACGACAGGAAAAGCACGGCTTATGCGTATCTCTAATTTAAAGTATATCATATTGCACTGTACCCATAATATGGTAAATGGATATTTTCTATCTTTCTGACTGATTAGCAGGCCAATATTGATAAGATGTGCTAAGAACTTTAGTGATAAATCGGCTAATTCAACAATTGAATTCAATAGAGCGGTAAATCTTGAATGTTTAGCGGGAATAAGCTTTCTATTTTCGGAGTGCCTCTTTTAGGATTCATAAAACTAACAGAATTTCTTTGACGCCAAAATCCATTCAGCTCATTAATTATGTAAATGCTTTTTTCTGGCCATGTGCGCTGCTGAGGCTCCTTCGACTTGACAATACACCAAAAATTATGTCACCAAAATGCAAATGTCGCGACATAACTTTCGGTCCTGGCTGGATGGGCTGGGGCATGAGCACATGAGGGGCTCTGTGATTAGCACAAGTCCGGAGCGGCTCCAAAAGCAAATGTTGTTAACAAAACTAACAGCCAGTTGGCATATGAGCAACATAACCGGGCTCACAACAAATTTTTGCCCAGGCTTTTGGCGAGCCTGCATAAAATTTGCATGCGATTAAAATTGATAAATTGTGGGACGGGCAACGAGGAATTGGAGGGGGGGAGGTTGGTTTTTACTCAAGTCAATGGGGCATGGGCAACTGGGCCAGTCCTTGGCATGACCTACACATCAGCTGTCAATGGCTTTCAATTATGTGCCAGCTGTAGATTGTCTCGGCTTCCGCTTCCCTGAGACGAGCTCAGGCATTGTCAGGAGCAGAAAATCGTTAGCTATCCACTTTGTGTGCTGCAAGTTTAGTTCCCTCTTTGAGGTGTAAGTAAGAAGCGTGTTGTTTGTAAATTTAATAAAGGCAGCTGCATAGATGGTAGAGCTGGTTGAAACTATTCTTCGGCGACAGCTAAACCGATTTGCTAAATGACAAACTTGCCGGGAGAGGGAGAATGGGGGTGGGGGTGGGGCTGGTTGCCGCTGCCACCTCGCATCCCTCTAATTACGTGTCGTAGCTGCACGTCCAGAGCCGGGCCATTATGTCACCTGTACGAAAAATGGCGCACGTAAGCCGGACACGAGGCGAGCCAAGCCGATGGGCAGGTGAGCTGAAGCAAGGGCCAAACGGCTCATTGTGCGGAAATCGCATTTGGCGCTGATAGCGAAAGCAAGCGGAGCAGCAGCAGCGCCTAACTAACGACCAACTAATACGATTAGTGTCATAATGCCAGGGACTTGAGTGTGTCAATAATGTTGCGCTCTATTTGCAACACTTGACGCTCGCTCTCAGCTCATTTGTGGACATCTTCAGATCAGCAGAACGAGTGGCTATGATAGTTGAAACTCGATTAACCACAGCTCTGAGTATCAGGCACAAATGTCGGGTTCGACGCGTTCTGTCAAGTGTTGAAAGAGCCAAAGTCTGAAAACACTTAACTTATACTGATCCATATGTAACCTGCAGCTATTGGCGTAACAAAACGTTTGTTAATCAAATATTTATACAAAACTGTGCTCAAAGAATTTAATAACTACGTATTTTACAAATCTTAAATAGTCCACAACAAGAACTATCAGTTGAGCGACTTGACTTTCCAAGTTCTATCTGAGCTAATTTTTAAGGTAATATAATAAGATATTATTAATTAAGATGTGAAGAGGCGTAAAACGGGTATGTTCGAATTTTCTCACGAATTCCAAATGTGTGAAAGAGAATCTTGCCATGCTCGTGCTTTTGAAGCTCGCTGATGAGGCTCGCTTTGGCAAAGGCAGCAACCGCTGCTGAGAGCAGAGCTACACAAGTGGAGCCGTAGGCAGGATTTCGATCAGACACTGTAAAAATTAGAGTTCTGCTTGGCGGTTGCTTGTACTGATCGCTACACTCGGCTGGGCCAGCCCGTCGCTTTGAATGTTATATTGAAGTAGCTGTGCTCCATGCGAGCTTCACTTGGCCCATTGAATGAGACGTAGCCGCCGGAAAAAAAGACCGGATACTTGAGCAACACATTCCTGCCAAAATGGAACTTTGACAAGAGGCCAAAAATGATGCCAAGCAGGGCAACGATGCTGGCAATAAGCCACGAGCGGAAACCAATGTAGACAATCATCTGGATGGGCCGCTTTTTGTCGTGCTCGTAGAGAAAGCGTTGCGAGCGCATGACCACTGAACGATCTGGATCCAGAAACGGTAGACACACACTTGTTTCATATCCGCGGAATGGAATATCAAGAGGCGACGCTTCAGAATGGGATAGAACTGTGGCAGACGTTCGAATACAGCTGCTGCCTTAAATCATGAACAGTGCTCGCCCAGGGGCCAAAGTTAACAGCAGCCCCGCCAACGTCGACATCATATCCTCAATGCCATATACCACAAACGTTTCCAGCGAATTGACGACACCGTCACAGTTCTCATCAACAAATATGATGCTCATGTCCGCGGCTATGAAATCAAATCCGCATGCACTGACCACGTACACACCGTGCTCCTTGGCATGTTCGTCACACTTCAGCTGCATCGTTTCTATATACTGTGGCTCACCGCTCAAGTCCAACTGATGGGCGCCGGCCTCGATACAGGCACGAACCACATTTTCACCATAGAAACGATATGGGCCCGCTGTATTGACAACTACGCGAGTGAACTAGGCCATTGCAGCAGCAGGGCGTCGTCATTGACATCCGCTATAATAATTGGCACCCATCTCCTTGAGCACCGCCTCGAGCTTCTCGCGATTTCGTCCGGCTGTGCCCCAACGCAGTTCCTTCAGCACAGACACCTTTTTTGATTTAAATAGTACAGTAAATATCAAATTATAAGTTTTAGCCTATGGTTAATGGATAATGGAGTTGATATGGAAAAATGCAATGAAAAAATTCCTTTAGGAAGGCGTTGATATCGAGAATTATAAGAGCTATAGATTGGCAAACTTGTTATTCATATAGCATGCAGGATACTTATTTTCATCATAGAGGCAGGGGGGGCTAAGGGGTGCATTAACCTGCATAGGGTGTGCATAGAGTTTGCATAACGTGATAGCTCAAAGCATTTACATACATCGAAATTGTTCACTACATCAGAAATTGCTGTGCTGCCCATTACAGAGTTTTCTATATGCCCAGTTTATTTGTTTTCATTAGATCGACATTTATTAAATTCCGAGACTAAACGATCGATTTATACTTTGGTTTACATGGATTATTATTTACAGCAGTTGGTGCAGGCCTTCACCGCGTTGGCGGCCATCATGAGCTCATAGTAGGAGAAGCGATGATAACTGTAGTACTCTGGATTTTTGTAGCACTCACATTTTCCAGCGTTGGGTCCGAGCTTTTCCGTTTTCTCTATGCACCTGAAGATCTTTGGTTTAATGAACGGCGGGATTTTGAATTTTTTCGTTTTTAGGCGAGTGGGTGCATAGCCTTCTGGAGGGTCGCGTACATTTCTAGGTTGTGCTCCTAGACGGCAAGGCTTCTTCTCTGGCTTGGGCTCATCAGTCTTTGGGACTTTGGTCTTCGAGTATCTTCGGGATAGTCGGCTTGGTCCTTGGCCAGCGTTTTGCTGTAACATTTTGGTTGAAAATAATCCTACGCGTGAAAGCATTTTTAATTTTTAAAATTTCGAAATTTATCAAAAACTACAAAATTTGGTAAAATTTTGATACGAACATATGTCAGATATTCTTTAGTATGTCTACAAATTTAAAGCCCGATATGGATATGCCAGTATTTCGCTTGAAATGTGTTGGTTACAGTTGAAATTCTTGTCAAGTTTGTTAAGCATTCATTTCAATATATCGATTTTGAATCATAATCGAGTAGCTGATATTAATTAATATGGAGAAATTGAAATATGGCTAAGCAGATGAAAGCCTGATTATTTTTGAATGTTATGGTAACAAATGCAATCGATATCTATAACTAATCGATAATTTTTAATCCCGCATTTTAATTTAATAATCAATTTTATTCTAACATAATGCTGAATAACTAACTATCTAGTAAACTATTTAGGTACAATTTTTGAAAGTGTTTTCAACTTCAACCTAACGGAACCCACAAACTGATTGCAGCAAACTTTCAGCAATTTCTTTACAAAATCACACACACACAACAAAGTTCCACAAATTATGGCGGAAAATTACCTTAACGAAAGGGCTTCCGTAACTATATAACCTTTTTGGCACAACTGTACCGGGTCAGTTATGTGGTAGTATGGGCACACTTGCATGGTATAGCGTTGGTGAGTATGGTGCTTCTTGGGATGTAGGGAATGGTTGGGGGGAGGCAATTGCGGCGTTGCCAGTATAACCCAAAACAAAAGCAATTAGATGGCATCGGCGTCGTTGCCATTTGTTTGGTTCTGATTCGGATTGTGCGGGTGTCGCACGCAGAGACCCACTAAAAAGTTTGCCAACGCGATTTTCTTGCTGAAACTATAAATTTACAAGCCGCAATGGTGACGCCGTCGTTGCCGCTAGCGTACCGTTATGTGCGCCATCTTTGTTCGGTTTAAGAGTGAGTGTGTAGTTGTGTGTGTGTGTGTGTGTGTGTGAGTGTGAGTGTATTAAAAAGCATTCAAGTGAACCTGCGCCGTGTTTCGTGTCCCGGCTAGCTGAGAGCTGACAATTTTCCGGTGCTTCAACGTTTATTTTGTTGTTTTTCTTGTTGTTGGGGATTTTTATTGCCATTTTCGTTGCTGTTGTTGTTAGTTTTAAAAACTTTGCTTTGTTGTTGGGGGCGGGCGATGTTGGCGTCTGGATGATTGTCGAGGTTTAACGTTTCGGGTGTTGAGCATTTATCTCAACGCCCTCAAAGTTTTACAGCAACTGGGATACACTGTGTACCCAAAGCAACAACAACAGCGCCTGGATTTTAAGTGAGAATAAGTTTAATGATCAAAATAATTCAACGTGTGTTAGTGTTTGGCTTAAGCATGTTTATGCCTGGCCTTAGCTGGGTCGACTTTAAGTTTATAGCTGGCTTATCGTGTGTGATTCCGCTTAAAAGCATGACACAGGCTTAAATACAATCGTAATGCCTCAGATCTAGTTAATAATAGTATATCGAAACCTTGACAATTTGAGCGATTTCTATAGGATATAGGCAAGTTGACATGGAAAATTGGTCCTTAGAATTATCAAATCGGCTTCATAACTTTCAATCAATATGCTCGTTATTTATCATTTAAGCCTGGCGTCCAAGCATGCCTTTTATTATTTTTTACAAAAATATGTAATAAACACCAAGTAAACTAAATTATAAAAAAACAAAAAAAAAACATTTCGTATTTCGTTGTACAAAATTTAGAATGCCTTCACGCACGTTAAAACGTCTTTCGCGTCAGTTGTTTCAATACACGCACTCCCAGATCCGTAATCAAATCCGATTATCTGTTATCCGCCATTATACGGACTGCGACTGCGGTTGCAAGGAGGGAGGCAAATGCGACTGTGGTCCGGAATGCGACTGTCCGCATCGGAAGAAGACCTACCGCCTTGGACCTCGGCCTACCACCAGCCGCGAGCCACCTTCGAACTATGCACCCGAAAGTCTGGGAACGGATGCATTCGAAATACCAGACTTTATGGATCCCAAAGTGTTCAGACCGATGGAGAAGGGTGAACAGCTGGGCCCCGGAGCGCACAAGTCGAAAACCTATAAGAATCCAGAGTTTTACAGCTATCACAGTTTATCGTACTATGATTTACGAGCGGCACAATCGGCGGCGCAGAAGCATGCCGAGAACTGCAAATGAATTCCAAATTATTTAAATTAGTTTCAAAATTGTAATAAATGCGACTGAGTCATTTTTAAAATTAACAAAATATTGGTGTAGTATTAGTAATTTTGCGCAAGGTATACGGGACATATATATGAAGGATAGTAAAAAGGAGCAACGAGATCGGGAACTATCAGATGAACATGCCTTATGATTAGTTTAAGCCGTAGCTATCCCCTTTAACTTAATTTGATAAATCATAATAAAAAATAAAGAAATATTGAGCTTATGTCCAAAATAATTTTAGCTTGTACCTTTTGTTATTATGGAAGGATGTTATGTCGATCAGAACATAAGTTCGAGAACTCTTGATTATACTCGAAATATCTTGGGATTTTCCATGACTTTCACTGTTGGCGGCGGCGGCCACAAAACTCAGTTGCAGTCGCAGTGGAAGCTGTTTTATGCAAATGCAGCGGCGTTTTTGGCTTAACATCGTGAACTTTCCATTGCTTTTGTCGTTTTGGTAAGTTTTGTGCTAGTTTTCGCGCTAGCCGTGTGATTGCGGGTAACGACAACGATAACAGCAGGAAGGGAAGAGGGGAAGTGACAACAACAACAGACACAACAACCATGGGAGAGTCGACAACGAGTACTTATTTGGCTGGCTGCTTAATTAAAATGCGCAGGCAGTGCTAGCGCTTCATTTGGCTCGCTTAATCGCCCTGCCGCAGAGATTCGCATCGGCCATGGCCCAAACCGCCAACACGCCCACAATTCCCCGTCTCGGGCGCTGTTCCTTTTGCATGTAAAGTGTCAAGTTTTTCATTATAATTTGCATATTTTTCGCTAGCGCGTAAACTTTTCGCCTACTCACCACCACCCGCCCTCGTCCCAACAAGCCGACAAGCTGAGCCTTGTAAATGACAACAATAAGCATTATGGCATGTGCCTGAATAGTTATAAGGACGCTGGCCTCTTGGTGGTGCATAGTACCCGGCACTTCTCGGCTAGATCTGCTAGATACACAGAATGTATCTTTTAGGTTATTTTCAAGTTTAATTTTTTGACTTTGTGCTTTGTGTTTTTCGTGCTTCGCCTCAGCCTTGGACGTCCTGCCCACATTGCTCGCCAGAAACTCATACTGCCAGGCCCTGCCGAGATGCCGCTGCTGAGCCGCGGCGCATAATCACGCGAAATCTGAAAACGTGTCTTGTATAGTAATGAGCACTGATTATAACTTGAAATTGTGTGTGAAAGTACAGTTGTGTGCGCAAGTTATGCTACGTGGCGTACTCCTGAAAGTTGTGACTTTTCAAGTTTTGACGCACAGAGCGTCAGTGTAAAAGAAAACAAAGGAAAAAGTCTGCGAAATTTGACTTTTCCTCTTGTATAAGAGTTAAGCTGGATGTTGTGTGGCATTATTTTCTTTTAAAAAAGTTGCTTAAACTGGTTGAAAGATCAGAATATATCTTAAAGGCAGTTCTATACGAGCTGTATAAGAGCTAGTTAAATTGGTTATTTATAAATATTCTTTAATCTTTCAGGTTCTTTTTGATAAAGTTTAATAAAATACAATATAAGGACTTTGTTGCGTGGAGAAAGTTCTGTGAAGGAAAAAGTCTTCGAAATTTAAGCTTCTCTTGTATAAAAATTAAGCTGGATATTGGGTGCAAAAGAGTCCTTAAAATTGTTTTCAGGATCAGATACATTCGAAAGGAATTGATTACGAGTGTTATAAGAGTAGAATAAGACTTTTGTTTTAGATATGTTTTAACTTTTCAAGCTTATTTAAACTAAAGTATATAAAAGAGAAATGCAATATAAGAATTTTGTAAAATTTATATAAGAGTTGTTTTAGGGTAAATACTATCTGTATACAGGTTTTATATGATATGAGTCGTAAGAGAGTTGTATAAGTAAAACTCAGATAAAGTTCTATTTAGTATATGGTAACACTATTTTATGAGCCACTGTAAATGGACTACTTCAATTCTGCCGCACCTCGCAATGTCATTTGATGTGTATTTAAACTTAAAATGATGTCTTCTTAATCAACTACCAAGTCAGCGTCCAGGCAGACGACCGTCGCGTCGATGACTTTTTCCGTAGCCCCTCCCCCTCCTCCAGCATCTCTTGTGGCTCCCAGCTACGGGTATTGTGCCAACATATATGCCACGTTCACCCAACGAACGTGTCGGCCCAGAGCTGAGCGAGTGTGTGTGTGAGTGTTAAGAGCCTGAAGGATATTATATAATGTGAAGTAATTTGAATGTGAAGTGTGTGGCAGGGAGCGAAGCTTATAAGTCTTATACGTGTGTCATGTGCTGCCTTTCGATTTTCCGTTTGCTTTTCCTCTTTGTCTTGGAAACATCAAAAACTGTCACCCATCTTTATCCAGCTGTATGTGTGCGTGTATGTGAGGCGGATTAATGAGATTTTCTTTATGGATTTATGATGATTATTTCTATTATTAGTTAAGAGCGTGACAGTCGAAAGTCGACAGTCAATTTTCGTAGCGGCCATTTTGATGCCATTTTAAAGTAATCCATTGATATATGGCCAAACTGCGTGGCTGCTGCTGCTGCTGCGTCCAACAGTCTTTACAGTTTTCTCATTTTTTAACCGCACTAAATCACAAAAATTGCACGACCCGCGCACCATTAGCCTTTGCTTATTTATGGCAACGCGACATTCAATGACAATTCAATATATTTTACATGCCCAGCGTCCCGTACCAACAGGAAAAAAAAAATTTGCTCTCTGTCCTTCTAGCGCCCGGCGGTCAGTTTATATACCCTGCATATGCTCAAAACGGCCTCAAAAGAATGTAAGATAGTTGATCGTATCAAGTCAAACCCTATTGCCCGTCTGTCCATCTGTCTGTTTCTACGAGAACTAGTCTCTCATGTAAGTATCATGGATACGTTTTTAGGGCTATAAAGCTATTGCAAAGCTGCTCCAC